AACAAAGATGTGTGCTGTCCTGCTCAAATAGTGTCGCATCAGGTTGAGCCTGCAGGAGGGGCAGCTAGTGATTGACTAACATTCCATGGTACAGTCAGGTTCCCAGGGATGAGACGCTCCTGCTCAGGCTAGCACACTTGGATCTCCCCACTGATTGGTGTCTTGCACACAACAGCTAGCATACTGTTCTCCATGCCTCCACTGTGAGTAAGCAATCCCATCTGAGGTCTCTCAAACAAAGGCATTGACTTCCAATATGTTATATGGTCTCTTCACCCAATCAACACTCACTCTAATGAGATGATTTAGTGCTTATGCAGCCATCACTGGAGTGAAAAGAGTACTGCAGTGCTTTCAGAATTGACAACATTGTCCCAGGCCTTCTCTACCAGCAAGATATCAGTCTCATTTCCTGAGCAAACAAACCCCAGTGTGTTGGATAACACATAACATATGTGTTATAACATAACACGTACCCTGGCACCTCGGCCAAATTTCCCCATCGGCCTTTATCAATCATGGCCTCCTAACAATCCCCCTCTATAAATTGGCTTCATCACTCTGCTCTCCTCCCCACTGGTCGCTGGTGTGTGGTGAGCGTTCTGGCGCACCATGGCTGCCGTTGCATCATCCAGGTGGATGCTGCACATTGGTGGTGGTGGAGGGTGAGTCCCCATTACCTGTAAAGCGCCTTAAGTGGAGTGTCCAGAAAAGCGCTATATAAGTGTAAGCAATTATTATTATTATTATAAGGTTTCATACTTACACCAAGCACTTTTTTCCCATTTTCCTCCATCATGCAAGGCCACCAGCCCCTCACAGATTTCTGATCGAAGAGCGAACAAGCATGTAGCGCTTTGGGCGGAGTTGAGCCTCCGATTTCTGGGATCATATTCAAGCTGCATTTCTCAGGAGTTTTGGCAGGAGATATTAAGCGATGCAAATCCAGTTCCACAGTACCTATTATCACAGGAGAAAAAAAAACATTTTCCTCTCAAAAGAGCAAAATGCCTTATCTGTCCGTTTAACGCACGGCAAGTAAGAGTACATTTGGGTGTCAGACAAATTCACTATTCACATCAAAATATAACAAGACAAAGGTAAGAATTCAGAACTGCTCACCCAAGTAGTCATCTAGTGAGAATTTATCATTGTCCCATATCTGGATAATTAACTTGGGTGGTGTCCTGAACTCAGTCTTGTCAAGACTCCAGAAATGCTCCTGATTAAAAGAAAGAGAAGATAGTAATAAGAGTACTCCGATTTCCTGGGATAAGTTTTGAGATTTAGATGAATTTTGCAAAAAGAATGCAACGCATCTATTGGTACAGATTTTAGAAGGTGAAAATTATAATGGTTTTAATTTGTAGATTACCCCTTTTTGTTTTTAAATTTACTTCCAATCACCTTTCTGCACAAACCAAAAGCAGAGTACGGGCAGGTGCTCCACAAACTCACCTTTCTGGAAACAAGACAGAGCTGCTCAGCGGGCAGATATTCAAAGTCATACACAAATCTCCAGTTGAAATTACCATCCCCATCCAGGGATCGGTAGTGGACATCAGTCTTCTGCTTACCCTCCTCCATGCCCGGCATCCACCTGAAGAAGAATAAGAAGTTTACCTAGGGTTTAAAATCGATTACATAGGACACCCTGGGCACTTAATCAGGTTATTGAATTTTCACAGAACTGGACTAAGTAGATTTTATTCCTTCATATAATAGCATAAGGAAATTCACAAACACCACTGACCACAGCAGGTTGTGTAAAACCCCTTATTTTTCCAATTAAATGTTTCCTGAATTTAAGCAGCTCAATTAACTGAAGTGAATATTCCATGAGGCATTAATATTGATTTAAGATTAGAGCATTTCCAGATGCTTCTCTTTGAGAAAGGATGAGTGGTGAAAGTGTGAAAAGAAGTGCACCACTTGGTTTTCTTTAGTCTTGGATTCCCTTACCCTTTCACGTAGATGTCACTCATGTGTTCTCCAGTGATGCTGGTCTCATCCAAAGTGACATCAGTGGTGTTCCAAATGATGACACGCAGAACATACCTTTGAGGAAGGGAAAAAAAATGGAAATTTGGTTTATCTATGTGCAGTCATCTTCGAATTTGGCCCAAAAACAATTGGGGAACTCAAAAGGAGTTTGTACTTCTTAGCTTTGCGAGGAGTGACGTCAACAGGGGGTCCAGGGAGTCCCAAGCTTTTAGGGAACACATCAACCCACATCTGAAGCTTCCCCTAAACGAAGGGGGGGGGGGGAAAATCACATTAAATGGAATCTTAAACCCCAAAAGGCTGTTGAAATTCTGAGAAAAGAGCCGGTTCCCCGACGCACAAGCCCTGCGGACCTGGGACAGGGTGGGCTGGAAGCTGCTGTACAGGGTCCTGGTCTCCACATGTTCAGGCACCAGGCCTTGAGTTCTGAGCACGTGCAGAGCCAGCCTCTCAGCAGGTGGGCCCAGGTGCTGGTGGATCATTTTGTTGGCCTCTGTACAAAGAGCAAAAACCCAAAGAAATCACCTAAAAAATTAACATTTTGAGATGACAAAACGAGGGCAAATGCTTCCTTCGTACATTCTCAAATTCCTGCATCTATTTTTTCTAGATTTTAATCAGTGATATAAGGTACTGTACTTCAAAACTACATTCTAGAAGAGCAGTGAAGTGTATTTGGATTGAATAAATGTCTACTGCCAAAATATAAAATTTGGACTGAGAAAACACATCATCACGTTGTCAAGGTCTGTTTTTATTTGCTCAGAAGTTAAGATTTGTCACTTTTTTGTTGCTCAACCTACCTGAATTTGATCAAGAAAAACTGAACATGAGGTTCATTAGGACATATAATAGTCACTAAATAAATGTTTTTGATAATTGCATAATCAATTAAAATCAAAAAGTTGTCTAAACACACTCATACACACTGGGCACAGAAACAGTGCAGTGAATCTCTAAAGAGGTTCAAATGCTGAAACAGAAAACTGAGAAACAGGTTAAGGAGCAGAAGGTGAGTGAACTCTCACAAGCGTGTAGACGAAAGAGGAGAGCTTACCAAAGTCTGCCAGGTTGTACTCGCGCCCTCCAAAAGTCAAGGAGGTGCCATTATCCAAGGTTACGTGGGGAGGGATGCCCTTCAGCCTGGCGAGATTCTGCAGAATCTGAGAGGGCTTCAGCTGATCCCGCCACTGGTTGATGCCAGAACTGCAGAGGAATACGGATGCCAGCATTAAAACCTTCAAATCGGGTCTTTCAGTACAAAGTACTACAAAGTGAAGAAGTACGCACACACAGTACGACTGCGGCAATCCACAATGGGCACTGAACCGTGACAGGAACCGATTCTCCAGATCGATTACCGTCTCCCCAACCTTCTCGTCGCGGGTCAGCATGTCATAGTCGTAAATGGAGATTTTCAGGTCTTTGTCTTGAGGAATGAAGCAGGTCATTTCAAACATTCTGCAGGAAAAACAAGAGTTTTCAATTGCATATATTTATGAAGTTATCTGTATTTATCAATTAATAACTGTCCCTGCAAGCGTGGTATTCATCCATGAGCTCTACTGCTCTGGAGTACGCACTCTCTCCGACTTGTCTAACTGGAGTTTTAGCTATTTTTTCCTAAAACTTTTCCTTTATGCTGGTGTTATAATAGCACAGGGCAGCTTGTGCCAATACAATTTCTGTAGTGCAGTTCCATTACAAATTAGATATTAGCAAAAAAACTACAATTCTGTTAAGCCGGGCTGCCCGATTCCAGTCCTGATTCATTCCAGCTTAGTTTTTAATAATCTACTTGAACCAATTAGCCTAATTCGATCCATTTTACAGACTTTCCCAGCTCTTCACGTGCTTCTGCTTTTAAGAAACCTAGAAAGCACGCAGTACAGTAGCCATCCAGGGCTGGCACCAGGCTGACTTGAGCCTTAGAACTCAACTCAGCAGTTCTACTGACGTATGTAAAACAGAAACTCAGCAAGCTCATCTATTGATTACAAGCCACTTCTGAAACTAAATTCCACAAATGGAGGTTTGATTTCTTGCATTTACCTTCCAAATATGGGATTTGTTGTATTTGGCCTATAGTTATCCCGGTCTTCAATCGTCTTCTTACCCAAACTGATCTTTATATAAGGATCACACTGTAAATGTAGAACAGATTTAGACATGCATTGCCAAGAGAAGCAAATAAACTACTTTGCTATTTGACAGATCAACATCTCCAACACTCCGATTCTGGATTTAGTTGCGATTACAGGTTATTAAGTATTCTTAAAGCTAACTAAGACAGGAGTACTTCTGAATGTAATCACAGTTCTTGGAACATATTTCTTTGTCCATATGCAAGAGCTAAGTCATTGCAACATGTCCATTTCAAAACTACAAGGAATAATTTAGCAAGGACTGACAACGGACTAGAAGAGGGTGAATTGTTAAAGAGATTTTGCCCAGCAAACAAGAGGTTCGGCTGAAATGACCCGAATCAGCCCCTGTGAGCATCCTGGAGTGCAGAAGACTGACCATGCCGTTGTTGTCTTTGGGCTGCAGGTCGATGCCACGGATGATGTAAATCCTGACCAAGCACTCCTGCGGCCCGCTGTCCGGCAGCTCTCGGAATTGACGAGGTGGAGCTGGGACGCCAGGGTCATCCGACAGGGGGTACACTCGGAAAGAGCCCTGGGAGACAGGAGAGGCAGAAAGCACACAGCTAAGACCTACCGAATTACTAGAAGAAAATCATTACAGGCACCACAACTTTTATTTCATACTCAGTTACCACTAGATGGCAGTGATGTTCTTTAGGAATAAAAGCCATGTACTTTTTTCCTCCCAAGATCTTACCCAGACTTTTTGTGCATCTCCACCTTAATAGGTTCCCCAATAAGTACTAAGAGTTGGAGCAGAATTTTCCCCATCTTCTGTCTTCCACTTTATAGGAACACAAATGCTTGATTCCACAAGCACATTCAGCATTATCCAACCTCTACCAATTTCAACAAAAAAAAATATCACATTGATGAATTGCAGTATGCACTTAACCACTTATGCAAGTCCTCAAACCTTGAATTCTCCCACCACTGTAGGATCTTCATCATCTTCATCGGTTTTTCCCCTCTGCAGCTTAAAGGTGCTACAGAAGTCAGTCAGTCCTCGATATTCTGGAATGTCCTCAAGTTCATCATCATAGACCTAAAAAAAGGAAACTGATTATTAGACTGTCACATGTCAAATACAGTTCTGAGTGACACATATACTGTATTACACTAGTGAGTATTATATGGGGCTGAGCTTATAAGTAGGCATCTATGTAAATCACCAAATTCCTTTTGCACAGATAACCCTGCACTGTAGTAAAATAATGTTGAAAACCTAAAGAAAAATAATTACAGCCAGCGCTGCAGTGGGACTAAAACTAACCTTTAGGCTGTCGTAGCCTTTCTGAAGGTAAGGACCACACTTCTCATGTTCTCCAATAGAAGAATAAAACTTGCTCCACCAGTCAACTGTTTCTTTCTCCTAAAAGGATGGAACAAGGTGATAAAGCACAATTAGTTTAATAATAAATGACCACCATGTTTAAAAACCACACAGAGAATAAAATGCAAGAGCAAATACAAAACCACTGTAACATTATGATGTGAAAAAATACACAGATGCACAAAAAAAATCATGCAATGGTTTTTCTGAACTTGTGGCATTGTAGTCCTAGTACCGCATATCTCACTTTGTCCTGCTGGGTCAGAAAACCTGCTGCCTCGGAGGAGTAGGTTGGTGTAAGACTGAGCAGGAAGGTTTCAATCTGTGTTCTTGTTTTGAGGTGGGGAGGGATTTCTTTTAATACTCTTCCACAGTCCCTCTGGTTGTTGAAAAGTACTTCTTCCGCCCACACCCATCTGAGATTTAACATTTTTCTATTTATGCATGCTGAAGGATTTTTACACTATTTTTACAGTACGTTTAAGTCTATAGGACCTCTTACCTTTTCTGCATGCTGATGATGCAAAGGCAACAGGAAATTCCAAAATTGGGAAAGAGAAAACAACAAAATAAACAAATCAGTTCCAATACCACAAGACAAGACTGTCAATTTAAATGAAGTACAAAGAACTCTTCACCGATTTGGTTTGATTTCTTGCACTTATCTTCCAAATACAAAGATGCAAAAGGTGACCAAATGCATCCTTAAACTGCATTAAATAAAAAGGTCTCATTGCAAGGTACATCTGTGGGTCTCTTCCTGCTAAATACAAAAAGTATCCAAGTATCCAAAAAAATGATGACCAATTACCATTTAATGCAGTGTTATATTCTATTTATTACATACCTTCTTAAAGTACAGTATTCCGCCTAATTCAATGAAGACATTTATTGCAGTTAACTAACTACGCAGTGAGTAACAAGCACCAATTTGTGGAGGTACACTGGTTAAGATTTGACTGGTCTAAATCCTATTCTTCAAGTCACTTTCAGTCTCTAATGCAATGTGAGCAGAATCTGTTGAGATTATGACAAACTACATCCATATTAGTAATACAAGATTATAATATTTAGAAACTTTGCTTTTTATTAAGAACTTTTACTTGTTAGGTGCTTTACAAATAAAATATTATTTTATTAAAGAGTTCAATTTGAAAGAAATGCTAAGTGAAAGGCTTATTTAAAATTACTCTTTTTCCTGGTAACAGACTGTAAGTAATTTCCCTATGGCTACTGTATCAAACAGGAGGTATGTAATTAAGTTTGTGAGCTGGTCCCAAACTCTTTCGATAGAATACCTTAATGTGGTGTTAGTAAAGGAAGAGTGTTAATCAAAATCTTTATTTTGCTGTTAGGGTTTGCCTTTATACTGCTCTTACACACCAGAAGCCCAACTGCTCACATTTAATTCTATGTATTTAAAACTCTTTAAACCTGGTCAGTTATTTCCATGCGGTTTTCAAAGCAGGTCTTTAAAATGTATAAAGCACCCAGTTTTCCATTTAATATATCAATATCCAGTGTAGCTCAGTTTTCACTCCCCAGCAGGATAAAAAACCCTCATACAGCAAAATGAATTCCAACCTTTTATAATAATGAAGAACCATTGCAGTTGAATCCCAGATCACTGTGATATTACCCCTGTGCTTCAGCATCATCTTACCACTGTATCATTCGCCCTATATGTGGTAGGTCTGGTGTGGGAGATTTTGGAGAGATTCATAAAAATGCAGTTTGGAAAAGTAGTGTATGAAGTCCAAGTCAGCATTTGTATCTTTTTTGGTAGTTGATTTCTTATATATCTACAAGGTTTCAAATGCAGAGATTTTATGTACTAACAGGAAAGATCTCTGTTCCCTATCCCACAGCTCATTTGGAGATATTCTGTACAAGTTTTAGAGGCGCCCATTACCAAAAACTCAAAATTGACTTCCAACCAACTGAAAGACATTTTAAAATTGTCCTGAGGGTGTAAGCATTTTGCTGGATGTTATTTAAAACACTTGCATTTGCAGTGAACACCACCTCTCCACATATGTAAATAAACCTTAATGGGAATGTGTCCATTAACAGACTGAGAATTATCATTTGAAACCCAGATATATAAAAGTATTTTCTAAAATATACCAGAAAGCCAAAATGTGCTGCAAATATGCATTGGACATTGAACATCATACTCACTTTCACAGCATCTTTCAATCCAAAATCCCTCTACAGAAAAAAAAAAATCAGAAGAGAAAAGCTTTGTAACAGGAAACACCTAAAACCCAGCTGGGGTACCGTCCAGGTTCTTTTATTGACCATACATACAAGACGTGCGGTTGTTGTGGCCATTTTGTTGACAGCAGCTGACATACTGTACACAAACTGCAATGCAGAATGTAAACTGTGAGAGGTAACTTAAATCCTATGGGGGGAAAACATTACAATGGATAAGGAAACTTAGAAAAGAAAAGCTCTTCTGGAGTTCATATTCCTTCCGTTCATGAAAAAAGCCAATTTTCTATCACAAATATTGACCTTCTTATAAGGTTAACCCTTGAATGGCAGTATTTAGTAATACTTTACCTCAAAATAACCAATTTAATTTCACTGCTGTTCCATCAATATCTCCAGGCCTTTTCAGTAGGAAACATCGTAAAAAAATAATGCACTGTTAAATGAGTAAATTAAGTAAAGTTGCTCTACCTGGGCTTCCAGCAGTGGCCTCTTGTCCTCGATGTCAATGATTACATCACGAGGGGCAGACATGAGAGCCACTGGAAAACAAGTGTTTGCCAAACATCATGGAGATGTGCATTAAGACCAGGATAGAATATCCACAGTCGGGCACTCGGGTCAAGCAGCTCACTAGCAGTGACCTCTGCGCAGACCAGAGACACTAAATCCACAAGAACCGCAGAAAACCTGAGTTTTATTAAGTTCTACAGTTGTGTATAAGAGCTATAAGAAAATATTTAATAGAGAAAGAGCACAGTACAAAAAAGACGAGTAGGTGGCTTTGTAAAAAAAACTAGAATCTATGTAAAAAAAAAAGTTTTCAGGCATGTCTGTACCTTGTCTGTACATTTCTATACCTTTTGAGGTCATTGCGAGCTCTGGCTTGGCGGTGTAGGGGTCACAGCGGAACTCTTCCAGAGTACTAATGGTACACTGTCCCACAACCGGCTTCCGGCCAAACGGCCGATGGTCAATCACTTTAAGAATTATGGGTGGTGTGTACATTTCTTCTTTCGGTAGAAGCTGCAAAGTAGGAGATGGTACAACTTAAAAGGCATCTAAAAAATTAGAACCTGAACCTCCCATTTAACTGAAGTTGTCTGAGCAGGCACTGTAGCTGCATCAGCATGCGCTGGCTGCAAGGGAACAGGTGAAGGTTTATTCCGTGCTGAAAGGACATCAGCTGATGAATAGAGAGGATACAGAAGGAGATTTTAGCTTTCCACACCTCTCCTCTTGTTCTCCCTAAGGTTAGATACTCCCTGGCCCTTCTTACCTACTCTGTCTTTTGTTCTCCTACGACTTATTTGCTACTTTCCCTTACTCCTTCACAGCTGAAGAAGGTCCACAGGCGAAATGTTTCTTTTCCTTAGCTTTCAGCACAAATGAACCTTTACCTATTCCCTTCCATATACTGGGGTATAATTGCATACAATGCATCTACAGCACAATTGCTTTTTACAATTACTTTTTGTCTGGATGACGTAATAAATAAATCTCAAGGTTACTGCTGCTGAAGTTATAGGTAATAATGCATTCCCTCGTCTGGAGTTTATATAAAATCCAGCCACAAGATCCTCAGGACAGATATCGCCAAAAAATATTTTCCTTAACAAGCATGCTTAGTGGTGTATGGTGCGTACCACTTTCAGGAAGAGGAGTGATCCAGGGAAGTTGGGGTTCTTCTTGATGTTCTTGATGACTGGCGACTGCACGATCTCCCCACCACACTCCACGACGAGGCTCGGCGAGGTCACGGCAGCGAGCTGGTACGTCTTCATGTTGCGCAAACCCCAGGCCAGGATCTAATCAGGCCACCAAAAAACAAACAACGCAGCAGGACTTGGTGACAGTTTCAGAGGAGATGGGAGTTGAAATGAACTGAATAGGTGAATATACAGTAGCTCTTGGGAAAGATGGAGCAGAGCTGGAGCGCCTCACCTCAATGGCTGTTAACTGCACCACCGGACGGATGCCTTGGGGTACCATGTACAGCTTCTCTCCCCTTTTGGGTGGAACGATGGGTAGATCCGACTCAGTACCCTGTTTAATAATAAATAATAACAAACTACTTTTAGACAGCTCCTCAAAATGGCTTCTCAAAGCACAACAAAAAATACACATTGAGAGGAGAGGAGATCGTAGATAGAGGTATGGAATACAGCAGGAAAGCAAGGGGCACACAGAACCAGTTACTGTAAGTAAAGGCCCTTCTAAAAAGGGCATCTAGATTTGAAAGAGCTCAGGGAATACGACTCACTGATATCCTTAGAAAAATAGTTCCAGAGCTCTGGGGCATAGCAAGAGAAGGCCCTGTGTCAACCATAGTGTAGACAGGTGGGGAGCAGGATGACAATAACTGTGACAGGTAGTGAGGTACTGTGGTACCAAGCCATGCAGACCCTTACAGGTGAGCATAAGGATTTTGAAGTCGACACAAAAGATGACAAGATGACAAGAATAGGAGTAATGGGATCACTTGCGCTATACCTGGTCCGGATTCTGGCTGCCAAATTGTGGACAAACTGTAGTGGACTGTATGTGGATTTAGCCAGCAAGTAGGTTACAGTAGCCAATTTGAGAAAAGATTAATGTAACGACCAGCTTTTCACAACAGTTAGTGACAACATAGGATGTAGTCAGGCAATATTTCCGAGGTGAAAGAATGATGTTTTGACAATATGTTGCACATGTGAGTCAAACGTCAAGGCTGGATCAAATATTACCCCCAAGTTCTTTAATTTTGATTGAAACTGAAGCATAGTACCATTCACCGCTAGGGTTACTACATTAGCTTTACATAGTTGATGAGGAATACCAAGAAGCATGACTTTCAGTCTTGCTGCAGTTTAGATAAAAGAACATTTTGAGTCATCCATGTTTTTTTATGTCAGAGATGCAACTAGAGATAATAGAGACAGTCACATCAGTGTCAGATTTAGCATGGACATAGATTTGAGCATCATCAGTGTAGAAATGATCATTCAGATCATGTGATCTTAATAGCTGACCAAGTGGGAACATGTAAATGCTGAAAAGTTGGGGGCCCGGTATTGAACCCTGAGGAACACCACACTAAATGAGTCCAATTTCAGAGCTAAAACCAACAAATTAAGTGACAGCAATCAATGAGGTAAGACTTTTAAGTGCAATGGATAAACTCCAAACACAGAGTCAAGACAAGGTTAACAACTCTCAAAAGCTGTCAAGAAGGTCAAGAAGAGGAAAGACAGAAAGAGAACCAGAACCAGAATCAGAAGCCATGAGAAGTTTGTTGGTGACTTTAACCTGGGCAGTTTGAAGGGCTTTGAAGAGGTTTAGCTGCAAAGAGATGGTTGTTTAACTGAATTGTAACAGCACATTCTAAAATCTTTGCAAGAAAGCGTTAGATACAGGTACAAAATTGTTTACTTGTCCACAGCCATATTTGTTTTTTCTTTGCACGGGGTTAAGAACAGTCTTGATGGTCTTTGGTACCACATCAGTGCTCAAGGACTAAATTTCTTATATTGAGGACAATGGTGCAAAGCAGTGAAACAGGATTGAAATAAAGTGGTGGGAATGGGATCTAATAGGCAGGAGGTGGATTTAATATGCGAAACTGAGGCATGGAAGAGAACCAATAAAGTTAAGCAATCAGGGAGGTGAGGACCTAAAGTGTTGTAGAGAGAATGCGATACAGGATCTTTGTCGATCTTGGAGCTAAAAAATAAGAAGTTTGTTAAAATGCAGACTGAAGACTAGTTTCCATTAACATTTAAATATTCCAAACCATGCCATCTCTGTAAGTGTCCCGATATACCTTTTTATTGCCTACAACAATTTTAAAGCGCCATTAAATGGACAAATTTCCATGCAGCATAAAAATAAATTTTGACAATTCCTGGAGCCAAGTACTTTACCGTGTTCTTCAGGATGAGTTCGGCTGCCACAAGCACTTCTCCAGCTCTCTTGCCCTTGTACATAATGGGATACCAAAGCAGTTTAGGGGCCACGTCCGTCCCAGGATTGAGCTTCACCATGGGGGGACACATGCTCCTGCCCAGGGCCTCGTCCTTGCCCTGGTGGGTACAGAGAAGAGACAACTATACATACAAGGAGCTCATAGGCCAGCATCACGCCATTAATTAAAGCACAGGGAGGAGTGGATCACAACAGCTACCTGAATTAAAAAAAGATCTGTTGTATCAAATACTTCTTAGACCTTAAACAGACCCTATTTGTCTGCTTTTCAGAGCTGCAGGACATTGAGCTCCAAGGAAAGTAATCTAAAATGGAAATATACGAGCCATTTGACGAAGTGCAATAAGTTTAAGAAGAACTGCACCAGGAGGGCAGTCTATCACTAGATCCTCCTGTTCACATTCCAACTCAGACTACATTCTCACTGTCCTGGCAAATCAAAAGTAGCATCATTTTTGATCGTCATGTTTTTCTGAAAAAAGGGCGGAGTAAGACACCTTACCACTTGGTCAGAGTCATAGAGCTCCATGACCACATAGGGAGGGTTTTGAGAAACAGCCTGGGGGTCTCCATATATTTCCACATCATTGAAGATGAGGGTTTGGTCCCATGTTGGGTTCAGAGTAGCTTTTATTATCTCCGTTTTTTTGCTTAGATGTAAAAATGATACATGGGCATATGGATCTGTACAACACAGAAAATTAAAAGTCATGAAATGTACAAAAAAGGTCAATTTTAAATACCTCCAAAAAAAACAATTCAACAGGCCTAACACACAATTAGGCTGGGATATCAATTCAAAATCTCTATACTGCTTAAACTGTCATTCGAACATTGCTTGTATAGTTCAAAGAACACACCTCTTATTCAGTTAAAGAAACATACAAAAACAAAAGGACATAATATGACAATAGAGGTACAGGTATCTTATCTTCATGTAATCCAAATCACTCTATATCGTTTGTATAAGTACATTTTTTTTTATACATGTTAATACCAGTTCTTACCTGAGAAACTGTCTTTATCCATGGGCAAAAGACTTCTAGCCTGATAAATATAGACTCGCAGGTGGTAAACAAAAGATCCTGTATAAAGAAAACAAAAAGTCCAATTCAAAATCAAAAGTGTAAACAGCACTATGTAAGATAATTCTAGGATATTAGCTGAAATTTGCTGAAGTGTTGATTGTTCAGTTATAACGCTCTGCAGAAATTTCCATTATCCTTTATTTAATATCCTCTTACCTCTCTAGTAGAAGAGAGGTGGACACAATATTGCAGAGATTAGCAATCTGTGCCAGGAAGAGAGAGTTTTGTAAACTGTTAGATGACCCACAACAAGGACTTACTGTCAAAGTTGCAGGAAACAGTGGGTGTGTTGGCACCAAACAGGGATGTAGCACTTTCCTTTTTTGAGCCCTTCTCTTCCTCATCAATTCCCTAAATCGAAACATGAAAAAGGATGATCTTGTGTTCTATGCAAAGCACCATGCGAGTGCAAGGAATTCATTCATTTTTGCCGTACCATCACCTAAAAACTGCAAATTAAGATACTCTCAAATGCATAAAGCAGACTAGACAAGCTAAAACACATTACTATCACTTCCACACATGGGATAAGTTATGATGATCATTTCAAAACTGTACACAAGCTGGGCTCATTTGCTTGCATTTTTACTTGATGCTGCACTTACAAGAGCCCCTTCCAGTTTAAAGATGGCAGAGGCGCCCAGGCGACCGGAGGGAGCCATTCTTCTCCTCCACCGGCGGCGCCGGAATGTGTCTGAAGTCCGCTCCTTGCTGTGGAACTTCCAGCCAATCAGGGATGAGTATTCCCAGCCTTCTGGATCTCCGAGAAATTTCTTCTGTTGATCAGTAAAGCCGAGATGCATCGAAACCAGTTGCAAAAGTGAGGAGGAAAACCACTCTTTTGCATATTTTGTATTTGCTTCATTATTCTATTACAATATAAAACGTTTAACTTCTTACATTAACTTTGTATCGATTGCACTTTCAGCACATCCAGGTACTGTAGCCACAGAAGGAAACATTGTTATGTGTGGATTTTGTTTTCTTTTTCGGTGGCAGCTCAAAAATAAAATTGTACTGCATTCTCCCTCCGTTTCAGAAGAAAAAGAAGAGAAACTATCACATTATCAAAGCCTTTCTTGATCGGAATTATGTACTATGTAGTACTATGTACTATAGTTTGTGGACATATAGCTTCACTTCACTTGAACCTTGACAGATAAACTAACAGTTCATTGAGATGTTTAAAGTTACCTCTGTTGGTGTCTGAGCATTGCTGACTTTCTTGCGAGGTCTGATCATTCTTTTCCTGCGGTGAACATGGTACATCTTCTCAGCTGGCACCCAGGACTTGGGTTTGTCATCAGGGGGGATCGTTACTCCATATTCCCAGCCTACAGCCACATACATTAATTACAGTTAACCATGTATAATTAAATCTTTTCTATCATTAACTTTACTACGAGTGCATTTAAAGCAGGAGGTACATCTTTCAGCAAAGGATGGTGGGAGTCTTGAACAAACCACCCAGCTGTGTTGTTGAAGCCAATAACCTGGCTTCCTTCAACAAATGGCTGCATGATATTCATGGATAAATTTGCTGTTAACTACCAAACAGGCCCAGTGGGCCAAATGGCCTCTCGTTTGTAAACTTTCCTATGTTAAGATGTATATTCCCAATAGGTGTTATGTAACAGCAGGTTTAAAGAGTTAAGGAACCTCTTAAGTAATTGAGATGACGTTTGTCTTCAATGGATCTTCTTAAAGCAGGATTAGTTTTTCACAGCAAATCAGTTCAGGGCATCATTCTTCACCTTTTTCATCCACGGCACGGTTTATATCGTAGCTCCATTCATCCTCCCACGTCCAGCCTGGGGGGCACTCAATCTCCTGTGGTCCTGGGGCTTTCTCCCCATTCTGTCAAAATACCCAATTGACTTCTGTAAGACTGCAACAGTCTTGGCACCGTGTATCTTTTCGTTCTTCCATGAATGGACTGCTCATTTTTTTTTTATAAATGTATAAAGAAACTGCCATTTTCACCATTTGCCCCTCCCCAACCAATATGTAATTGAAATCAATTTACCAAACCATTCAAAGACAAGAGAACAGGAAACACATTCCGCTTAAATCAAGAAACAACTTCCATGATTAAGAACTACAGCCATTTCTGATCTACATGAATAGTAGTTCTTTCTCAGTGCACAGAATTTCTTGATATAGCATTTGCCAGTGAGTGTGAGGAGCATGTGTGTTGTGAACAGAGCTCCTTCACCCACCCCACTGTAGGAACTGGAAATATGTAGAGTGCACTTTTGTTAATGCATTGGAGTGTGTTTGGTTAACCAACAGTACAACCCAAACCTCTTATCTAAAAAGGACACAGTTGAATAATAAACGGGTGCACTAGAAGATGCTCACCACATCCGTGAAGGGAACCTCTGCTTGTTTCCACTCTCCCCCAGGGAACCGAGTCTCATTCTGGAACACCTCATCGATGAAATCGGAGTGGCCAGCATCAGCTTCAGTCAGCATCCTGCAGGTCAGAGACACGTCAGTACTTCACTCACTGCAGTTTCAAAGAGAATTGGGCCCTGCTGCACACAGAATTGCTGCCAAGAACTAAATCCATGACAATGAACTAAAATAGGGTTAATAAGCCAACCACATGATCAACTGTTAAAAGGCCAGCAGGATTCCTTTCCCTGTTATTTTAGGCGAGGAGATGCTCAACCACAGCACCCTGTTCTCTTACAAAACTTAAAAGTTGGGCATTTCCCCTGTGCCCCTCCACCTCAATATGAAGGTGGCCAGCTCAGCCCAGCCCATCATTGGAGTACAGCTCCCCTCTATTTCAGACATTTTTACTCCTCACTGCCTTAGGAAGGCTGGGTGTATCATTTAAGATACCAGTCACCCTGGTTCCTCACTTTTCACACCCCTTCCCTCTGGTAAGCATTATAGGAGCATAAAGGCACAAACATCCAGACTCAGACAATTTCTTCCCACAAGCTGTCACAATACTGAACTCTAACCCTACCACTGGCTCACATTGATGTTGTCCTGGCGTTGTCCTGCGTTTTTGTTTTTGCCATATCCTTAATGTCTTGTTTAAGAGCAGACATGCAAATAAGCATTGCATTGCACTTGTGCATATGACAAACTAAAACTGAAAAGCTGAAATAGCTTTCGATAGCTGAAAAATGATTTTCAAGGCAGCAGCCCTGATAAGATCTGGCCTTTAATCAAAATATAGGATTCAGCTTGAGCAAGTGAAGGAGACTTCAGGCAACTTGGCTCACGTTTTCTCTGGGTCCACAAACCAGTCCCCCTCCCACTCCCAGCCCTGAGGAGGCAAGAAGCTCTCGCGCTTCAGCTTAATCTTCCCAGTGACATCGGAAAATTTGTGACGGTTTAGGAGACCAGTGGTGCCCCACTTCCCGAAGACGAGAGCCTGGTTTTCATACTGTTGGGTAAAAGAGGAGAAGAAAAAAAGCAGAATTATAGTAGGTACACATCCTTTAATGTTCACCTGGAAGTCTGATGCAATGTGCTTCTCGAAATTCATTAACAACTAAGTCAATTAAATCCATCCATTTAAACTTCAACAGGAAAACATTACTTGGCACAGCACCTTTGTTAAACAAGCACAAAACTCACAGATACATGCACGGACAAGGTTTTTTAGTATTTATATATTATAAACCTAACAGTGGACCGATAAATTAATAACTAAAGATATGTAAGTTTCAAATCCTTTCGTTGGTTTGAAGTTCAGGGGAAGTTTGCTTAACAAAATAATAACCCTCCTCTTGCCCAAAGATTTAAAGGATAAGTGTTTAACATTTATATGTATTTAAATAGCATTGGCATAATGCAATACTTTTAAAACACCTACCAGTTCTGCAAACACACTAAACGTTCCTTCTGAAAACGAATTGAATTTCTTTTCGTTTGCAGACAAACCAAGCCACATGTTGATGCGTAACTGAACAGGGATCTTCAGGCCTTTGTTACTGTCCATTGGGTACTGAAAGGCAGATTGTTACAACAGGTTACAGTCAACCAGCCTGCACTTTACAGGAAACAATATGGAAATATGTTGTTGCTTTCTTTCTATAATGTGAAAAAGTTAAAATAAAACTTAAATAAGCAGCAGAGTTATGCTGTGCCACCCAAAAAACATTATATGCCATCCTTAAGGTCAAATAGTCCGAATACCTGCATGAAGATGGTTTGGGTTTTCCCACAGAATTTTCCATTGGCATGTTCACTGTGGGTGGAGTACAGGATCTCGTGAGCAGGAATGCGTGTGTAGGCCACCCTCTTCTCCCCACGCAGCATCCAAATGATCACATCCGGCATGCTATTCTGTGGCTGTGACCAGAGAGATTTTACAAGTTTTAGATGTAATGGAAACAGTTAAAAGGCAACTGTAAAGTTACTTTTGTATTTCCGGGTTAGAAAGAAGCAACATTGATAAGTGCATTTCATACCACAATGAAAGCAAAATGTACATAGTAACATGTAAACCTTCCAATTTCATCACAACATAGAATAGATTTCCAGGTATGCACAGCACCATATTGTTGTGATTGTCTGCAATACAGAACGAAGCAACACAACTTCTGGTGATGTGAAAAAGCTGTTGCATTGTAAACAAGCAGGCTTGTGAATACATCTCTTTTAATAATAGAAATATTGCTCTCAACCTCAAGAAGGTTTTGCTGACAAATATTACTTACTTCCTAACTCATGCAGAGTTGGCACATGTCTGTGGTGAAACTGCTGCACAACCTGTACTCATTCGCATCACATTAATCATGACAGTGACTAGCGAGCAGGAAGGGCCGGTTGAAGTCGCGGTTCTCATGAACTCTCGCACCCCCCTGTGGTGAGACCACTGGTTTGCGACAATACGACGACCATACAGTACTTTCACAAAGTTTACGGTTTTGTGCTTAATTCGATGTTTGTAAAAACTGAAATGATGGTATCACAAAATATTTTGTTAGCGAGATTTAATAACCGGTCCAAGAAATTAGGACTGCAGTTCCCCTTTCAGGGTCACAGACACTAAGGATTTTTACACCGTGGTTACAACAAGCTACTTGCCTCTTCTGCCACCTGCTTTAAGCTCTCCAGCCATTCCTCGATGTCTACCAAAGTGGCCTTGACGTCTGTCGCCTCCTCTTTCATGCGCTGGGCTCCCTGGAGGATACTCCCTATTGTGCTATCGCGCAGCTTCTTGATCTGAATGTCCAAGTTAGTGAGATTGGGCTTTCCTTCCATTTCTGGCAACCTGAAGCTACGATACAAAGAAAAAATAAACTCTGTAAAATACATAAATGCTTGCACCCCACACAACTGGCACTTCTGTGAATTTACCTGCAACTCATCTCAATGACGGCTGAACAGCTGCAAATTAATCGATGGTTGTCCTAACAGGAAATACAGTATAGAGCAAAAACAGCTCCAAACTAGAAGAATCTTTCAAAGTATCTCAACAATGTTATTGTAATTATGAAGTGAAACTTTCTTATTACAGCACTTTTTATATCAGACTAAAAAAATGCAAAACATTTTCAGTTTCTCAGTCTTACGTGCTCAAGTCCTCAATGAGCTGATTGACAAGTTTCAGCCATATCTCTGCCTGACGAGTTTCTGACATTTTAGCCTGAAGGGCTGTCTTCAGGGAGGTGATGTTGGATTGCTGAAACAGACGAATTAGTACAACTAGTTCAGTTGTGAGGGGCCAAGCTAATAAACATTGGAATTTAAAGAAGCACTCTTAAGAAATAATTTACAGTTTTGTTCTGCATGTGATCTACCATGTGCAACGTTATATTAATAGTGCCGAGTCCCACAGCAATTTAACATGCAAAACAAATTTTCAGATCCCTACAACAAGTACACATAAATATACATACATTTTCTATCCATAGACTTTTGTTTTATTAATAAAGATCTTCTCACCAGCCGCTCAGCAATATAAAGAATAATGTTCACAGAATCCAGCCTGTGACTGATGTCCTCCCAGTAGGAATTCAGAATAACAACTGGTTTTGAGTCAGACCATGGTAAGTAGTAGTAGAAACTGCCTATTTAAAAAAACAGAAATTGGCTTTACAACAGAAATAATTGCGGATTCTAAATTGTATGTCTCCCACAATTTGGTTCTGCGTACACATGGGAGAATGAGGAAGTGTAGGCAGATTCCTCTGAAACCCCCATCATTTTTTAATATGCTTATGTTTTTAATATGCCTTGTTTGGGAGATCTAGTGCCAGCTGGTGAAGAGGCTACAAACGTTCACCAGCCCTGACTAATGCAGACTCGAACCTGTGATCAGAGACCTCAACCTGTTCTCAAGTAAGCACCTTTACCCATTGAGCCACTCAGGAGGCCCCTTTGGAGGTTTGTATGTATATCCATCAGGTAGTGTTTATACATGATTATTTGCTTTTATCCAACTCATTCTGAACTGAAATGCACCTCATGTTTAGCCCACGCTTCATTCTAGCGGTATCCAAGTTCTTACCATCGAACACGGCACAGCTGTACCGAGTAGTAGACGCCAGTGGCTTGCACGTTAAATCGAACTTGTTGCCATAGTTGCCAATGCTCACTTCAAACTGCACAGGCTCTCCGATTTCCTGCAACATGCTGGCTGTGTGAAAAACAGCACACAAGCTGTACTTCCTCCTTCGCTGGTACTTCTACAGGCAAAACCAAAAAAACTGGATAAACAGCCTGCTGCAAAAACAGGTGTTTGGTTCAGAAACAATTAAGCATGTCAAATATTTATTCAAAATCCTCAAAGTAAAGACCAAGTCAGCCTCACAGACTAAATAGAATAAACAGTGCAACACAAACCAGAAGCACTTCTTTACAAAAAGTGAAAGCTATGAAGAAGTGGACATGAAAACTAAGAACATGAGGCACTTGTTTAGAAAAGGGCTGTGGGAGTTTGGAACAAGTTGTCCTTGAAGTTAATACCCTGGCGTCTTTCAAGAAACAGCTAGACCAGATCCTCAAGTCAATTAACCTCCAGCTACTTAAGAAGCCAGAAGTACCCAATAGTCTGCTCTCGTAAGAAAACTTTCTTATGTTTCTGAAACATATTTGGACAGATCTGCAAACATTTTATAAAGATCAAAGAGCGTTACAATTACACCGCTAAAAAGGTCACAGGGTAAAAATGTTCTGCCCTGTGTCAATACCTGAGTCACCAAGATGTCATCACTAGGAATGTCTTCAACTTTTTTTTCAGCTTTTCCATCAAGCTTAGTAGTGAGTTCAACCAAGATTCTTCCTCGATAGGCAACCCCCTCACCCTGCCAAAGGAAAAGCAGAGAACATGTGTTTGTAAAATTGACAGCCACCTTACATTCGTACATTTCAGATACAGCCATCTTCTGTCTCTATATTTTGATATTGCATTGCTATTAATATGCACACATTTATGTTTTTTTTTAAAAAGGGGGCATTTCGCATCACTAACCACTTCACAGTTGTCAGTTTGCAATGATATGGATGACTGCATAGCACACTATTGCACCTAGATGGCCTCTCCAAGGCTGTGCTCCACAAAACCCCATGAGAATGTACAACTCAATCCCGAGAATTCAAATTAAGCTTCTATGCATTCATATACTTCTGATTTTGTAAGAGCACGTGGTGACTGCTATATAAGTTTTATTAAATGTAGCCTACACAAAATATTTGTATACAATTATATTTGAAGATTTAATTGAACGATTTCCTCCACGTACCAATGTGTAAAATAAGGTTAATGTTTACTTCAACAATTTGAAGCATAAAATTTTTAAGTTTATATGTTTTATAAACTCACCTTCCCAAAATTTAACTCATCATATGGGTCAGGAAGACCAGTGTACTCTCTTGGACTCCCATACAGGTTAATATAGCATGGGCCAAAAGCAGGCAGAAATCCCACTTCTGACTCCCCTGTGTTCACTGAAAAAAACAAGTGGTATGAGCCAAGGGCTCATCTTGAAACCGGTGCGCTGGTTTGGTTAGAAGTAGCAGGAGCACTATCATTAAGACAATGAACACTGTTTGTGCTGTAAAAGGTGGTAAAAATTGTGATTTACTATGAAATCACTCTAAAGGCTTTTAAAAATTTCCAGTATTCATGCTTCATGTTTTAAAGCTCCCAAGACCCACTTCCAATACTACATTTATTTTTTTTTAATGGATCATCTGCAATAAACAGATCAAGGGGGCACAAATAAAAATATTTTACATTTACAGTTGTTGCACCAAAGTCAAATATTTTCCCTGAAGAAATTAAACCTGGGACTTGAATTTACAGTTTTAAAAGCACATTAATGTCATAAAAAAAAACTGTACATTGCATCTAAATTATTTTTGTTTCTTCCACAGACATTGATGTCTCAAAATCCTGAACCTTGCCCATCAATCTGTAAAGCCTAGAACCTACTACACACAAAATACATGTTCATTCTGCTGAATGCTTGAAATATGTTAAATAAAGCTCCTGTCAAGGGTTAGTGTGTTAAATTGAACCACGGTGATACTACAATAAAAGTAAAAAACATTTAAAAATCGGCATGTACAGAATTGTTTTCTGCATGAATTACACAATGTGTCAAAACTCCCATGAGAAAAGGAGCACATTAGCTAGATCTCATTTGATCAAGCAGACATCCATCACAGAAGACGTTTTCTTCAAACAACTGCACAGACTGCTGCAGGTGAAAGACTTCTTGCTATAAGGAAACGTTCACTGACATTATCATAATGCATTGGCAGTTGTGGATCCAAAAAGCTTACTCTGGTAAGTTAAAAACAAACCACACGCACACAGGCACACAGTATGTAAAACTTTAGGCCAGCAAGAAGGGTCACCTGTAGAACAGCAAGTGCACCACTGTTTTGCCAATTAAGAGCGATTTTAAGAGGTACATTCACTAGCCTAAAGTTTCTACATAGTTCAGAAGAAGTGAAGTCAATGCAATGAAGTTAGGAGTAAGTAAATCAGCCAAGGTTAAATGTTTGCTTAGGCATGAGGTAACCCTTTAAGTGCTGAGGTATTTTGCATGGAAACTAAAATAAATTTAAATTGTGTAGACCATCTGAAAAGGGATCTTAACCTAAAAGGTGTTAAAATACTGTTTTTGTTCCCACCCAGAATGTTTTATTGATATGGTACCTTGAATTATTGGATACAAATCTTATGTTTGGAAAGATATTTACATACATGCGTTCTGTCATGATCTAATGATAAGGTTAAGTTCACTGAGAGAACTAATCCTGAAAATAATGAAAGACAACATGCACCCTTCTCGCCTTGTTTTATTAAAATATACAGACTGTACCTCAGAATTCAAAGGGTTAAAAAATTCAAGATAGTTTCACAGATGTTGATTAGCATTAGTCCTAAACTCACTCGCTTACCTAAAACATCAATAGGTGCCAGCATTCCAGGATTAGTGCTAATTAGGGTCTGTGAAACCACTTGGTTCACTAGCAAAAGCTGAAGAGAAGTGGAATCTACGCAGATCAGAGTTCTATATTTCTCCAGTGCTTAAAACCACTTTGGACATCACAACTAAGGTGCCAATGTTTCCTTTGCAAGGCCCTGTGATATGTTTTTTTCAGGGATACTGTTTCAATTAATTTTCTGTGAAATTACAATCTCAGGTGAATAAATTACAGCCAGTTTTAGTAGGTGCCAATCTTCCAATCAGAATTACACTCACAGATTTAACTACCATATGCCAAAATGCTGGATTTACTCTGGTTGGTTATACTAATGAGCATTGTAGGGCAACTCTTTCTGATACTATGAATAATGAAAGATTTTAGCACTGGATAATACATAAAAGAATTCAACCACAAATTGAACCTTCAGATGCTGGAGAAGCCCCATATCTCGAATGCGACTCTATCCCAAAAAAGAAAAAAAAACAAATGCAGTGAACAAACTAATGGAATACATTTGAGGTCCAATTTATAAATCAAATCGACCCCAGGTATTAAACAAATGCACATAATTTAAAAGTTTAACTTTCCTCTATGCAAATGAAGTATTTTTTTCTTGTCCCTTTTTAGGATTTTGCAACTCTGAACTTTCATCTTAAACATACACAAACATTTGGTTATATACTGAAACACTGACATATTACGATCATTATACCTTGTTGATGTCCGTATACGTTAAAAGTGATAAAGCTAACCCTTTCCTTACCACAGCTGTAATTGGTATTTAGAGGACTGATCTGTAATTTGTCAAAACACTGTACTATCTATAGGTTTTTATATACATGCTCATGGCCAGACATTCAACACATTTCTTGTTCAGAATCCAATACATCAGAAATAATTCCAGACAGAGTCCTGTCGGTTTTATAGGTGATTAGTAATCAGATCCATTCTGGGATTTAAGGAATGTCCTACCCTGACAGGGTCAAGAAACAGAGAAGACCACAAAGACTCCAAGCAATCAAAAGCATCAGCAGGCACTGACAAAGTCTACTCAGCAGACTTCTTCAGAATGACAAGTCAACTAAACCAGAGGGCACGAGTGGATGTGCATTTAAAACAGGGAACAGACACTGCTCTGCAAAAACGGTTGTGAGAGTATGGAACAGGCTACCCAGCCCTGTTGAAACTCAGGCCTGGCTTCCTTCAAGAAATGGCTGGATGAGATCCTTTTATCAATTAACTACTAATTTCCACAGGGGTAAGATGAGCCAAATGGCCTCCCCATTTGTGAATGTTATGTTCTTATGGTGTTTGATCTGCAGCAAAGGGGCATCTGTCTTCATATTCACATCATTAGATCGGGATTAAAAAGAAAACCTAAAATTAAAATTAAAAAGTATGCTGCATCCCTGGGACCAGTCCAACTGCTTGGACTGTTCACGATAATATATTACAGACTCCTTAAAACAAAATGTCATTTTCATGCAGACAATTTCACAAAGAAATTCAACAGGACAGGGGTGGGCAGTATTTAATTTCATCACAGGTAAAACAGAAAATATTAAAATTAGTTAAAAAGTAATGTTTTATCTCAAAGTAAACCACCACTGTACCATTATCTATATTCCTGATGCAATCTGATTAGCATTAATCCTTGACTACAAACTTAAACACCGGTTTTCATCTTCAAAGGGACCTTACCTTCAACTTCACCACCAGAGGAAGCTATTTTAGACAGCTGTAAATACGTTGTTCCTACTGTATCATTTCTAGTCAGCCGATCCCTGTGTGAGAGACCAATAATGCGCTTAAAGTTCTGCACACTTAGGAGCAAAGAAAACATGCTAAATCAATAGTTTGTGTAACCCCCTCCTTTATACACTTTGTAAAAATCCCTTACAGATGGAGGTCAGTACTACACTGCCAAAGAAATCCCAGAGACACAGAAAGGCCTGCAAACACAACTAACTATTTCTTCAAGTCTTGAAAGGAAAGCCCGTTTCTTTAAGAAAATTTTGGCTGTGTCCACCTTCACACAATCAGATGGGGAACATCTTGCAGAAAACATTTTCTGTATTTTCAGTCTCGGTTATATGGGCTGGTCTCCTGTTTCCAACTGCCATTGACCTGGCACTGAATTAGAAAGAAGCCCAAAGAGATTTTTGTCAAGTAAGTTTGTTTCTCATTTCCAGTTCTTAGTTCTTAAGCCTAATAGTTAAATAACTTGGTTTCTAAAGAATAAAACTATTTAAGGAAAAACACAACATACCAGTCAAAAACAGTCAATTTGATACGTTCACAAACGGAGGGGAACTGCAATATAAGGAAAAATTTGTATACAACACAAAATTGATTAGATGATTACGGTGATAACAGAACAGTAAAAGCATATGTATTGTCATGCTCTAAAAATGACCTAATAATGTTTTGGTATCGTGCAAGGCTTTTTTAAAGAAATCTGAACCAGCTGCGGTTTTCTGATCACATTTAATAGCATTACACTCTTACCTTGGCCTGCACATTGATCAGCTGGTTCCATTCTGGGTTGGCATTCTTCTCCACAATCTTAGTGCACAGCTACATCAGAAAGAAATACTAAATGTTTCTTTTTTTCATACAATCATTGCAATCAGATAACAGATGCTGACGTGTTTGCTGTGACCAAATTAAACACCTTTATCAACAAAATTGCCAGAACTGTCTTGGAGATGTTAAAAGGTGTTTGAGACCATTATCTATTAGAGCCTCCGTACATGCCTGCTCCAATATGTAACCCTGACCAACTATGTCTCCCAGTTAAGACAGAAAGAACAGACAAGAGACCTACCACCTCTGTTTCACAATATCGGCTCTGCTCTTGTGCCAGAAATCACAAAGCTCTAGTGCTGCTGCAACAGCTTTTCTATGGTTTGAAGGACCTGCATATTCTAAACCTGCAGGTACACTTAAGCAAGGCGGAAAAGCCTGTTTCGCTCGTTAGCAACTTTCCTTGTTTCACATGGCCGCGATCAGTTACATGCCTGGAAGGTATTTTTTTGGCAGAAAGAGCCTAAATAGGGAGCAGCAGGTCCAGAGATCCAGTCGAAGACTCTGACAGCCCTGATACAGCTCCACTGCCATGCTTGCAGAAAACAGCCCACCTTCTCTGCAGCTACCTACTCAGGACTGACTGTGGGGCACCAGGACAAGGCAGAGACACTCCCCGAGCACTACATACATATATAGCTGACCCACACAGCACAGACCCAACTGTCAAAAGGCCAGTCCCCCACTGTAGCAAGTTTTAATACTTCTAACTTGAGTCCCAGGGAGCCACATCTAGTTTGATTTTAATACTGTGAAGTTTGTTATACAAGCAAACAGCCTTGACAACAGTCCCTGGGGAGACAAACACGCACACCAAACAGTAAGCAGCATTTCAGGAAGTGAGTGTACTTAATTAAAATGCTGCAAGAATTGAGGACACAGTTCACACTTTCAGCTGTTGTTTTAGGCTACTACCACACTTACCTTTTTGCCTGCGAAACTGACTTCTACGAAAGGGTCTACCAGGTTCTTCTTGTCACTGTCACCTCCAAACATCTCCTTCACAGACTGGACAAATGCATCATCCACTAAAAGAAACATTTCTTCAGTGAACTGGAGGACTTGATTTAGTTAACAGTACAAAAGCTGTATATGGAGGAAAAACTACAGCTTAATTCTCGAGGCTATTAAAGCTCTTAAAAGCTACATCTGGACATTGTGGTGCCGAGATGGCGTACTCTGTGGGATGTCCTCGGCCCTGAACACCTTCAGGGAGAAAGTGACCCATCGCAGTGTGACGCCAGCGGGCAGCAGCAGGTTGCTTTCAATGTCGTCCTCCTCTTCACTCCTTTCCCTCCTCTCCACCTGGTGAAAATACGATGGTCTTCAGAGAAGGTCCAGGACAATGCAAGACACAGATGAAACACCTGCTGTGGTTCTTTGTATAAAACTGCTTTACTTATACTGACAGATTGTTAAAGTGCAGTGGTCACGGGATCTTCAGAACCCACTTTGCAAGTTGTCATCAGGCCTCATCGCCTCATCAGACCAAGGGTAGAGACACTGATGCTTGAGCAGGAACCTCAGACATGTTACCATTTTAAATGTCTTAAGAGTTCCAGAGTAGTGAAAAAAAAACAAACCGAATAACTAGCATCTAAAAACAGGGGTCCCCAATCCTGATCCTGGAGGGCCAGTGTGTAGGTTTTTAGCCCAGCCGCTGCTCCTAATGACCCAAATTAGCTCATTAGGGGCTTAATTGACCAGTTAAACAGCTGCTCCCAGTGCTGCTGATTCCTCCAGGACCAGGACCGGGGACCCAGAAAGTCCAGACACAGCAGTGTTACCGGAGGCTCGTCTCCAGTCCCGACGATGAACATGCTGACTTTGAGGTACCCCTTGGCTGCCGAGGTGGAATCATCGGGGTCGTTCAGAAGGAGCCACTTCCTCATGACTGCATGTGCTTGGGAAGACCAGGAAACACAGGCTCTACTTACACGTCTCAGAAACAAATCAGAACCGTTCACACAAAACATTTAAGTGTGCAAAACACAGGAAAATAAGCCTGGATTTAATTTTTTAAGTACTGGTGTGGGGATGAAGTCACTGAAAGGATTCTTCATGCTTTATGCCTTGCACGTGTCAAGTGAATAAAAATCAGGTAGCAGCCCAGAAAAGCTGATCAATTACTGTTAAATAATTTTGCGAGTTTTCTGAAAACGGGAATTCTCAGAAATATCTACAAAAGGCAAAAAAAAAAACATTCTTGATACTTCAGTATCAATCTTTGGGTTGCACGAGCTACAGAAATACTTTTACTCAAAATTCAACTTACCAGGTTCATCATAGATATATCCAACATCCAGCTGTGGAGGTAAAGAAAAGTATATCAACTTTCAAGTATAGCCGCCTGTTCAGAAATGCACCTTTTTTCTGAATTCCAGACTATTAACATGAAGAAGAGACACTGAGCAGAAAGAGTTACTTTTATTTGATTTGTGTGTGATTTACTAGGGTACGTCCAGGGTTACAGAAGCAGACCTACAAGTACTGAGATACTCATTAAGCATTTCTTATGCAAGTGTGATGAGGCTTAGACATTGCAAACAATGTTTTCTAAAGGTTCTGTGGCTGTTCCAAGCACTCCATAAAAACATTTAACTTAAATATTAACTGTGTTTTGGAACACATTAAGGAATATATGAAATGCAGTAGATAAAGGAACATATACTGTACCTTAAACTCCCCCATAAGACTGTCTGCTCTCAAGGAATAGGAATTATACACCTAAAAGAAGAGAGCAGCCATGTTATCACAACAAGAGACTGTGTTGAATTATCCTCGCAAGATCTGTACGTGCACTGGCTGAAGCTCTGCTCTGTCCCTGCGGATTCCATGATTTGATCCCAGTTGCTCTCAGCCTCAGAGCCACAGAGCACTGCCCTGCAGAGAGCAGTGAACTCTACTGTACCACAAGACCAACCTCCCATCATATGAGGGCTCTACATGGTCTTGGTTTCTAAGAGGGTTTGTAACTAGCACATGTAACAGGACTCATCAGCCAATACAGTAAGTAAAATGATTGAAAACTAACTCTTGTGTCATGTCTGTTTTTGATATGTTAATTCAATTTCAAACCTGTCTTTAGGGAACCAATTAAGTGAATAATTGTTAGCACTAGATTAAAACCTGTAAAATGGGGGATATTGAAAGGTGGCTTTATAACCAATAGGTTCAAGTTTGTCTACTTTTGGAAACAGATACTGTAAGTCAAATTAAAATGACCACTATGTTATTTCTCTCTGTACCTTTGAGGATATATACAGTATTCACACACACTGTTCAATGTTCTGGTAACAATGCCAAAACTCAATTTGACAACGGAGTATTTGCAAATACCTACATAAGGAAGAGATTTCAACAATCAGGCACAACATACCCGAATGCTGATATCTTCGTCAAAGAGCTCCGATGGCAACATGTTGACATTGTAAAAAAAAATCTGCAAAGGAAGATACAGTCAGTTATGAGATGTAAATGTAACTCTCTAAATATAGTTTATGGAGATTTGTTCAAAACAATACATTTTTGAGCTGCTACAGCCTTTTCAGAAAGGCCTCTTTGGGAAAGTAAGAGGAACATATTACAACTAGGGCAAAGTTCCCAGGTTACACAGCTACTGTGAAAACATGTCAAATTGTGTTAAATGAGATACCAGGAACTTACTGAAGCAGAAAGGAGAACCTGCAAAAAGGTGTCAGGCAGATGGGTAGAGTGGACAGATATGGAGACCAGAGGACAGGCTAGGAGGAAGAAAAGCCAAGTAACTGATGCCGAGGACAGGGTCCAAGAGAGTTAGGAACAAGAAGACGCCCTGTAGAGGGAACAGTACAGCCCCAGTAGAATCCCATCCCAAATCCAGCACAGATTTACACAACTACACACACAGGAGATCTGAACACAGCTATGCTGCTTTAAAAGGAGAAAAGCACTTATGAAAAGCAAATTGCACCAGACTTAAACGAAGATGGAAGTCTGCCCTTTTCAGATTATTACAAATTCCTTTCTGTGGTTTTTTTATTAACAGAAGGCACCTCCTCTCTTAAAAGTGACTCAATACACAGCAGTATTATAGGATTATAGCTTGTGTCAGCAACTGCAGACCTTTAAGATTAGGTCTATTAAGAAAAAAGTGAACCTCCTTCAAGACAATGGTTATTGTGAAGCACAGAAATCTCTTCTGCCTGTGAACAGTAAGTGTAAAAATCAATGCAAAAACTTACCCAAATATAATAATCTAACAAAAACATAAGGAGATATACTAATCCTAATTAAATTAAATGCATTGCATTTAGCCTACAAATGTATTTAACGTAAGTAATGCCTATGTACTGAAGTGGAAATCTAATAAGTAAATTGATTCTTAAAAATGTAGAGAGCTTTGAAAAAAATATATTGGTGCTTTTAGATAATACATTTCAAGGATGTAACTGCTGTGCTACAGTGCGTGCAGAATTTTAGAAAACAGTTCGTCAACAAAGTACACTGTTTAGGTTAGTTTAGAAGACAACGTACCAAAACAATATATGCTGTCTGGGTCATTAGAATTAGCTGAAAGTAACTGATAAGCTTTGAATAACAAATCTAGTTTTTCTTCTCTCGCTCTATGATGTAATCTGTTTTCTCTTAGAGAAAGGGGAAGTTTTAGAAGGGACCAAGTGCTGAACTTTTTTACAGCGCAACGTCTTATAAAAACCCTGTACTGCTTGTAACAAATTGAGTCTCTGGTTGCACTTTGCGAAGTGGCAGCAGGGCTCCCAATATTGCAATATTGAAATAAAGACCTTACTCAGGTGAGAACTCTCTCTTGTGGCTTCCTTGATAGTTATATTTCCATGACAGTACTTAATGTCAGTGGAATTTACGAAGGCAAATATTATATGAAATTACCTCATCAAAGAAAGGATTATTTCCTCTCTTGATCCTTGTTCTGTGCGTCTGACCACAGACATGAACCTTGACAACAGGCTTGATGTTGTTTCCAGGCAACTGACGACCCTCGATGATTCGAACACGGATCTATTGAATAGAGATGGAGATTTCATGAAAAACAAATTTCAGCAGCTTCAGCATATCACCCTGCAACTTACAACTGGCAACCCACTGAAGCTAAGCAGGTGTGATCCTGGCCAGTACCTGAATGGGAGACCTCCTGGGAGAGCTAAGGTTGCTGCATTAAGTGGTGTTAGTGGTGCCAGTAGGGAGCACTCACCCTGCAGTCTGTATGGGTCCTAAGTACCCAGTATAGTGATGGGGAAACTGTACTGTAAAACAGGCGCAACCCTGTTATTAAGATGTAAAACAAAGGTCCTCACTTTCTATGGTTATTAAAAATCCAAGGGTGTCTCTCGAAAAGAGCTCTGCAAGTGTCCTGGCCAAATTTCCCATTGGCTTTTACCAATCATGGCCTCCTCATAATCCCCATCTATGAACTGGCTTCATCACTCTGCTCTCCTCCCCACTGATAGCTGATGTGTGATGAGTCTACTGGAGCACTATGGCTGCTCTTGTATCATCCATGTGGGTGCTGCACACTAGTGGTAGTGGAGGGGAGTCTCCTTTACCTGTAAAGTGCTTTAAGGCTTTGAGTGAAGTGTCCAGAAAAGCTGTATATAAGTGTTATTAATATTATTATTATTAATTAAAATAATAATAATATAGCAGACAGACCCACTGCAAGTTAAAACCCAATAGCTATTCCAGCCCTCCAGCTGCTCTAACACATCTTTGTTTTTGCAACACTCCATGCTAATAAGGTCAGAACTATTGACAAACATGGCTTACTTCAGAGCAGTCTCCAAAAGATCAAAATGTTGGATGAATCCTGTGTGCCTAACAGCCCCGGAAATAAATCTTAAGCCACATTAGGTTTGTATGCAAATATAGTTTAAAAAAAAGTCAAAGTATAACTCATTTTATAAATGATTGTACACAATAAAATTGGGAATGCTTATCATCAGTGGAAGGCACATTTAGGGGAATCAGTCCTCCCTCTAAGAGGAAAGAACAAGGGCACACCTCTGGCAGGACGACACCTGAAAACATACCCATGATATTTATAAGCACCGGAGTCCATACCTGGAAATCCTGAGGCTTGTTGGGCAGGGTCCTGTTTCTCTTTCTCCTGCCAGTCCTTTTTTGGAGCTGATTCCCAGGCTGACCAGGAGACAAGGGGTCTCCTGAGAGCCCTCCCTGCCCTCCATCAACATGCTCTTCACCACCCTCCTCCTCACCATCTCCACCTATAGGAAAACACACCTGGTTTTGTTATGGCTTCCCAGAAACAACCTGCAACCATACCCACTGCCAAGCAGTGAATTTGTGTGAGCCCCTCCACCATAAGCAGAACGCTACCAATATTTCAGCACAAACATTGCTCCACCACATACTGTACGCTCACTGCATCGGCTGGTCCGATTAAACTGAAACTGCAATTCAGAAGAAACAAATATCAGTATGTCTATTCTGCACAGTCAGAAAAATTATCGACCTGCTAGAAATGACGTGTGAAGTAAAATTTATTTAAAATGTTATTTTCTTGATTTCAAAACATCAGAAGATATAAACCATTTTCCCTTATCTCTCCGGCCATAACATCTAGGAAATCTAAATGTACAGTATAACTCATTTCCTTTGCCTTAAAAATACAGATCACAGATGAGGAGCATTTTGCAGGTCTTATTTTCTTATTCTTCAAAGCAAGCAGTATGATGTCTCCATAAGCTGAAATACTGAAGATGTATATATTGCATGGAAGACATCAGGATGCAGACAAGCCTCTTAACCACAGGTTCATAGAGTATAATCATTTACTGGTACTGAAAACCTCACAGACTGAGAATCTGTGCCTCCCGATCTGTGCACAGATTCATTCAGAAATTGAGCCATGATTCATTGTTTGTTTTTTTTACTTCTATAACAATAAAGTAAGTTATAACACAGAAAGTGAACTTGACCAGACAACATAGAAAAAAAATAAATATTGTACACAAGAGATGATACTTTCAGAACCAAGGTACAATTAGATAAGATAAGCAATTTTGTGGACACAGAGCAGATAAAATTATCATCAACTGTTTAAAGATTAAAGAAAGCTGCAACATTAACCACATGCTTTAACTGTGGAGCCCAAAGGTCTTCAACCCTGATTTGGGCAATTAAGAGAAACATGGTCCCTGAGGGATGTGAATTACTTATCCTTTTGGTCCCTAATGATCTCTAAATGAACAAATTCCCTGCCTAAATGACCACAATGGATATGCACCAAATCTTTAGGATTTAATGATTTAATAGTATCAAAAAAAAGCTACTGGATTGGACCAGGAAAACCGTTTGAGATCCTTAGAAACAGCAACTTGTTTTTAATAGCACTGAAAAATAAGTGTATGCACAAAAGAGCCTGTTAAAAACAAGAACACTGGTTGCAGGAATGACTCGTCAAACCAGATTCATTGCCCTTTATCAACTCTAAAGCATTATTTTCCTAAACTTAGTTCCTTCCCGAAGAACACTTTACCTTACATAATGCAAAACTACAAAGACAGACAAAAATACCTGATATCTATTCACGATTTCCCCTTAAGTACAATATTTTCCGTTGGATTTAAGGAAGCCGTTTGTAGTTGTACACATAAACAGTACATACAGTACTATACAGCACAAACAAAAGGACAGAATTGGACCACTTATTCAGTCTGTCTAGAACAATGCTGAAGAGTTGACCATCAAGTTCTGTGATGAAGTCTGCTTGTGCATCAAAAATGGAAAAGCACAGAAACACTATTCATGACTAGCAGGAAGCTTGTAAGCTGTTACAGAGGTATGACTGTGTTCTACACATATGCAAATTGGTATTGTTGCACAGCAATATGCATGATTTTCATAAGGCCAGTTTGTGATTTTGCTCCATAAAAAGAAATATCAAAATAACAAAATAAATTCCTCAGTAAAATAGCAGCAGAAATATTAAGCTATCATCAGAGGAAAAATAAACTTCAAAATTCTGAAACATTCACAGTTCCCATAATCCTGGTGATATTTACAATCCCATCCTATATAAATACACAATCCTATATTTGCAAAAGAAATAGGGAGTGTCTATTTATTTATGTTTATGTCTTTATGCAAACAAGTAAGTGTACATACAGTATAGCCAGGGGGAATGACGAGCTGCAGAACCGGTTTGAAACACCTACAGTGTGTTCAGGATCTCATTTAGACACACAAGTACTGGAAATACGTTTTATCAAGTTGACGTGACGCAAGTGCAATATTGAAGACCAAGCGGTTAATCAGAACTGTAGGTGAGCAAAGAACTTGGGGGGGGGGGGGGAGGGGTGAATAAGTAGTTATCGCAAATAAACAAGCCTTGTCGGAAAGCAACCTGCATCCTCTCTTTTATACAGCGCTATTCATGTTATTTATTCCATAGCAGCGACGTTTGTGTATTCTGTTTCCCAAAACCAATGCAGGCAAGAAGGACCTCTTAGAATATTAATCACTGTAGACACTGACTGCAAATTCCTCAGCGATGCAATCCTGCATGATTCCTATTTAAATTATGCATGTTTCAGGGCATGTATCGGAGAAATTGAGTGATATATTTCGCACTGCAGACAACAGGCTAACAACTAAAAAACATAAAATTATTAAAAATTCGTGATCAATTTGTTCATTTATTTGACATCAGTAAATGGTCGTAGAATGGATTCAGAAGACCTTAAACTTTATGCAATTTACTAAAACACACGACGTCAATAGATTTCAGTCGGAAAAACGTGGGCTAAATTAAAAGAGAAGTTGAAGTAAACTTCGTGTATACTAATTTAAGCATTTGTCATTGAAACTAAAACGGTAACCACCTCATGGGCACACCTAATTTTACTTACTAATTATTGCCGAAGCAGAAAACAGCCTAATTGTACAGTACCTCAGTACAGGCACAGGCGTTGTACATGAAACGTTACTGCGCTTGCTACCCAATGATAATTATCCGTAGACATCACTTTCATGAAATAGAGAACGACATAACCTACCCCTTCTCTCCTTGCCTGGTACACCGCCCTGCGAATCTTCCATTGTCACTCAGGAAGAAAACCCAGACTACTGAAACTCAAGTTACATTTCAAAATATGCAGACCAGCTTGTTTCATCTTACCGGTGTCTCCTCCACCTGCTACCTCTCCGCCGTCTGTTTGAACATTGGGATTGGAAGGGGCGGTGGCCGGAGGTTCGTATCCAATTGTCAAATTAATCGTTGCCTAAAATCAGAGAAGGCTATTTCAATTAATTCATTATTTTAATTAAAAACATCTATCGAACTATCATTATTCCATTATTTTCCTTAATTCACAACGATGTATTAATAAAATGCGCTATACCGTAAATCCCACATTTGCCTAATCTTTTTGAGAGAATGAAAACATTTGTTTGTTTTTTTACATAACGAGAATGGACACACGAAATATAATACTAAACAATTATATTTTTATATTGATGATGATGACACAGAAAACATCCTCCGCGCACTGCAGAACCTGACAGAACGGGTAAAATTAAAAAAAATGTGATTTGTTATTCTGTTAAATATAAATATTGCATCTTGTTGGCAACAGACACACGTTTAACAACTTTGGTTTTTTGAAGAGGTGCTGGTGGAATAAAAATGTTTATATCTCCTGTGTGTATTCACTAAATATGGAGACAGAGTGGAGGTACAGTACTTTATATGGAGTAAATCCACCTGTGGCTATACTCACTGTCCTCAACTTACAGCTTTGAATTCTCACAGCTCTTGAATACTGTGCATGTTCCTATTTATCTTGTGTCTAAATTAAAAATTTAGACATTTGCAATACTATATCAAATAGGAGGTAATTAACTCTACAAACCCAGACAAATATATAGTATTTTTACACAAGATAATGGTCTCAAATTTCCATTTTCTTTAATGGGGGCAGATGGGAGTCAATTGCAGGACAATTGTGTACAAACATATGAAACTTTACTTTTATATACTTTATTGCATCTTCCCAAGTACCATGCTTTAAAATAATGGCATGCTTTACCATCAGAAAAGAAGGAAAGATTAACTTACACCAATGTCTTGATTCTTTTCATTGAGAAGAGGCAAATTCTTCAATGGGAGGGACTTGACCTGACCAGTTGCCAAGTCTTTTAGAGAAACTTTCGCAGAGCCAATAAGCCTATAAAAAGAGGATTTTAGAATTATTTGAACTGTACATCACGCATTTCATTGCAATGTTATTTATTACGTTACTGGATCATTTATCAAAGATGGTAACATGAAGCCATGAGGAAAAGGACACTGGGTCATCTCCTGGCACCTACTTTGATCAAAGTTTGAGGCCAGTCAAGTAAAGAACAAAGCTGCAAAAACTGAGGCAGATCTGTGCAGAGCAGTGGAAGTATTAGCTGGAGTGTGCTTTTCCTCCCAGGAATTATTTTAAAAGCTGCTCTCTGCACACCCTCTCTTTCTAAAATTTAAACCATGTCAGACACTGCTGTGCAAGTGAATGGCAATAACAAACACACTGTTATACACCTGAGAAGGAAAGAGTACACCTCACATGATACAGCCATATTCCATCTTTTACAATTTCAAACACCTACAGTAAGGATACTGGTCTTTAATATTGAGACATTATTGGAAAATACCAGTTTATTTATTTTTTTCTGCCTGCTTTTTGATTTAGAATATCGTTTGCTTTGGACACCAAAGTCCAGTGAATGCTGGATACAAGTGAAGTTGGCACAGGTTCATTTTCTAATCAAATCTGTAACATATCTGTGTCACATGGGGGACTACTTATAATAATCACTAGCTGGAGCAAAACACCTCAGGCAACGTGTTCAAAATAATCTGATCAACAATTGAATCTGCCTTCTGGTAGAAACGTAGAGGGAAAGGTAACTAAGTTTTTGACTGCCTGTCATTTGGAGAATTGGGAAAGGAGCACTAAAACACACAAATTGCCTGTTTCCCAGAAAGTCAGCAGACATCCTCTCTTCACTGGTTGTGCCTTCCCGGTCCTAATACTGTCAGTGTCCATTCCAGTCAGGCAAAAGGTTCGGTTGCTATTTAAATAATTAAACTAATAATGTGATTGTTTAACGTGTTTCTCCTGTTTTATGATGTTTTTGCTCCTAAAAAAGCTGCAGATTTTCAGGTTCATCACCAATATTTTAGATAAATATCACATAGTTTACAAGCTTGCTGGCACAGGTAACACTTTAAAAAAAACTTATAATTAGCAGATTCGTTATGTGTAATTAAGAGCTCAAATGCAGAAAAAACTAGCTGACACTAAGGTCACCAGGATCTTGTCTTGGCCTTACAGGTAGACTGCAGATGTTTCTGTTCCGTGCACTTTAATCCGAACCACAGCAAAGGCAGTTTTAGTAAAGTCAATCTCTCTGCACACCTTACTTCTCCCTTCACTTGCAAATACACAGAGTGTGTCCTGGCAACCTAGACTGCCTTGTTTAAGAGGAACAAGCCGATGACTCATTTTACTTTCCAGCAGAGCCACAGCCCTGGATATGTCCTGCCCTTAACGCTCAGAGCACATGAAAATCATCCTCACATGCTGTCCTGCTGTTATTCCTAGTGGGAGTGGCTGGAAGTCATTCTGTTAGATTTCCGGATTGTTCTGTTAAGAGTTCAGGGTAGATTAACGCACGATCACCAGAGTGTTTTAGGCACACACTCTTAAGAAGTATTACATCCACACTGACGACCTGAATTCCATGGAAATGTCTGTATTATACAAGTTCTGTTGAACTGTCCTTTTAACAAAATACTTTTTCCCAGCAGTTTCACTGCCATCCATTCTGATATTTGTTGTGCATTATGCAGTCTGCACTTGTGATCTGCCTTCTTCAGCTCGGTCCATGAATGTTCTACCAGAAACGGATGGCCAATCAAGAAGAAGGATCTCCATATCATCATTTACCATTTGGTTCAATTTAGACTTTGCAGTGTATTGTTATCCTGTTGTGAAGTCCATATGTGACTTGAGCGTTTGGACAAGAGTCACCAGGGATTGACTATGATGTCCTGGTAAATTTTGCATTCACTCTATTCCAAATTTTGGGGTCAGTCCAGTTCTAACCTGAAGCAGAAGATGCAAAACAAGACTAAAACGTAGAAGGAGTGGCATCTTAAGTGACAGCATATATTTTCAACATATCTACAATACGAATGCATTTGACTATAGTAATATACAGTATTCGTTTTTGATATAGTCAATATAGTGTCATGCATTTATATTACAAAATCTTGACTTACACCTGCATTGTTTCCAGCTGAAATCAACTTTTAGTTACCATTTGTTAAGGGATGTTCATCCTGCTGTATGACTGAAAAGGTAAACCATACCTTTGTTTTCTATACACAGTCTGTCCTATTCATTTCATATTTACACAGAATTAATTCAAGTATGTTGGGTGGTATTACCAAAAATTACTTTATAACAAATATTTAAATACAGTGTTTTTTTACAGTACAATCAAAACTTAATTCATAAATACATTTGGTGACTTGAATCAGACAAGTCTGAATATCTTTATTTGAAAAAAACTCTTTGAATAATAGTTGCACTGTCCCTATATACTGCTGACACAAAACTTGAATATTGAATATCCTCTCTTTTAATGACACCTTACATGCCTATGGGATTCATCTCTAATATTAAAAATAAGATAATTATATATAATTCTTATAATAACAATTAATCTATATTTTCTATAAGAAATTTTAAATGTTTGAACATTTTTATCAAGGGCCAGAGCTATTCAGAGCTGTTGTTTAATATGCAGTATAAAAAAGCACAACAATTGCTTAACATTATAATACATTTCAGATCAGAAAGGAAAAGTCATCAGCACACAGGGGTTTTGCTGGAGAACGTCACTATGTCACGGTATTTAATGTCTCCCTTAAAAATAAAAAGTTATTTCCAAAATAAGTTAGGGGTAAAAAAATTACTCTTTACAGTTCTCTCTTCGCAGTTAATTTATTTTTTAAACAAAGTTCACAATAATCCACTATGCAATGTAGAGCAAATGGTGAGGCCTCAGAGTTTGGCTCTAACTACAGGCTGGAACACCACCTGGCAGCTCAAACACATAATCCACACAAGATCCAAACCCTGCACACAAGCAGAGCAGCCTTCTGGCCCAGAGGAGCAAATTGTAATTAGATAGGGGGTGTGTCCTCACTGTAACAGTTACCTCACTGCTACAGGGGCAGAAAAGCACTGTTCATACTTTTCTGAGACTATGAAAAGGAAGATACACTTGACATCTTTGCAATCAGCTCTGATGCAGCTTTTGTAATGTACAGAAAGGCCAAAAGTAAAAAAAAAACAAAACAAAATTAAACAGGCTTATTTTTCCCCAGTGTTGACATACTGATTATTAATAACACATAAACAGACTTCCACAAGTTCAATTAAATCTGAAACAACCACTCTCTAGAGGGTATGCTAGAAGACTCAAATTAACAGGAGCAAAAGGTAGAAACACACAGTCCAAAGACCATGGTCATCACAGACAAAGCCATCTGGATTTCTTGGACTACAGCTTTATTTATGATCTGCAGACTTAAACCTGAAATATGTTTCCATTTTCACACAGAGAGTCATTTATCTCACCACTCTTTAGTCAGCTACACACCCTCGAATGTTATAAAAAAATGACATATTCATGAACAGAAATCAGATAGGACAAGAAATAATACTGTTTTGAAACTTAATTTGTTTTTAGCTGTACACTCCAAGGGGTTCAGAGCACTTTTTATATGCAAAAAATAACTGTTCATGAACATGAAAACAGAAATACCAGAAATAAATCTCTGTGTACCTTTTACCTGTAAGAAAATGCTCATATTTAGTTAGTATATTGCAGTGTAATAACAACATTCATTTGTCAAAGTCCCATTTATGTTGAGAATTTACTGAAATATTGAGCTGACTGTAAAGCTGCCCATTTTGATGCAAAAATAGTTCTCTGCAAAATAAGTTCCTACTTTTTCCAAAATGTAAAAGAAAAAGTTAAAATGAGAAGGGAAATTCTCAAATTTCTTGACATCTAATATACCAAACTCATAGCCAGTAGTTTCTGCTCATAAATGATAAAGAGGTGACTTTTGGATTATCACCGAGTTCCAGCCTCAGTAATGAGTGAATCAGACACTTGCTCAATAACCACATTGTTCTCCCGTTGTCTTCATAAATGCACATGATTATTGTACAATAATTCACTTCTTGGTCCTAACAACCATGAGTCTTCCCATATTTCCCCTCCTACACAGACGTTTTGAGTCAGTCCATTCTGAGTGGGCAGAGACACAGGTGGAAACTCATCAAAGTCTGATGCCCTCCTGCTGTCTGGCTAAGACACCCTAACAGCTTATAATGTTAATGTAACCTAAAGCCCTGGATTCATTACCACAGAACCTCTGAATCTCATCTAACAGTCTCTGCATAATGCACCGTGTATAATTTTATTTTCGAGTAAGATAAATCGCATTAAAAAAAATCACGAGCTTCCTGAGTGACTCAACCTGTAAAGGCTTGAGCTCTCCGGTCACGGGTTCGAGTCTGGGTCATTTCGCTAGCTGACTGTGACTGGGGTCGTCACAGAGTAGGGGAGTATTAGTTGGTCATGGCTCTCCTGGCAATGCCAGAACCTCCCGGGCCTTGCGGGCTTGCGGTGCTGTCGGGTGTGGTACTGGCCTTTCTTCCAGCTGGTGCTGAAACTCGATCGCGGAGGTGTGCTGACATGTTGAAGGACCAATGACTGGAAGGAGGGCTGGTAGGAGGAGCCCGCCAGCACTTCTTCAATCTGCCTTGTGTGAGTTTGCACGGGACATACAGGCAGCTGCAAGCTGAGACATGAAAAACACACCACTGGCTATTCCACTATTCGGATGTGTATAACAAAAAAACAGCCAAACGTGCTTAAACAAATCTGACAAAAAATATGACAGCTTTTCTTTTGTAGGATTTGTGTTCCCTCTATATTTTTGGAAGAGGGACGTTTAGTTATTTAAGCAGTAACGTGCACAGCAGGAAATGCCAAGCCGATGTTATTTCCTGGCTTTATTTTACAGTTTCTAATCAAGGCCTCACAGGCATATGAGGGCACATATTATTGACTGCAGGTTAGAGTTAACACAACCCATATGCAAAGATATGGAGACACAGAGCTGGGGTTAGACACATACTTCAGCTATACATTAGATGTACTGTATAGACACACAACTATACGTTACACAGCTGGCCCTGTAGTTTCATAGACCTTTTTATTCTCTATATTTTTGTTGTTTATTCTCTGTATTAGGTAATTAGGAGAGTTCATGCTGCATACTTGCAGGGATTCTCCCATCTTCAGGACATGGAACCCAGTGCAGCCGGCACATGATCCACAGGCAGCTGTTCTGTTAGAACTTTACCCAGAACCTATTATTAAGGTATATTCACTGCTGCCTTTCTTTATCAGGATTTTATTGTTGGGTGTAAAAGTGAACATTCAATATTAAGGAATAAAAGCCTCTATAAATAAATGCTTTAGTGTGATTTCAGGTATGAGCAACTCTTATGTTCCTATATTCTCATTTTTTTGTCTTGGTTTAATTCCTCACACTACAGTTTAGCAAATAAAGATCTCCATCCTGGTTGTGCGATTTATAGAGGGACATTTCAAATCATCCATAAGTGGATTTGATAGAATAATTTTAGTTCCCTTTCGGAGAACGGGGGGAGAATCTGACAACCTCTCAGGTTCTTTAGAATAACTGTTAGACTGCTGAGTGGATGCATGAGTCACCAGGCTCCTAATGAAGCATGTTATTTCCTTTGTTGAAATAAGTTGTTAAAACGGGAGATGTCAAAAAATTCCCAGCAGCACTAAGCTTACATTCTCAAACATAAATGCGTTTTGCAGTCTCCCTACTGGTATTCATCAAGAAAAAGACTTCACTCCTCATTTAACAACCAAGACTACATTCCTCGGAGTACTGATATATTACATCATTACTGCTCCCCCTCACGGTTTACAAATTCCACATCTCGTTTTTGGTACCACTGTCACAGTCAACAGCACAACCAATACCCCACTGCTTAAGAACAAGCTTAGATCTTAAGCTTTACCCTTCTCAGACCGGTCACTCCAACGCTGCCACCCACTGCCTGTGTTTAAAGCAGCTGAGATGTGACTCACACTCGCATCATCTACATACTGCCCACGGCACACTGTTCTATTTACACAGGGCAGAACCCACAGGCAACAGGAGGGAAATGACAGATGTGCAAGTGTGCAAAGCTAACTAAGCAAAGACTTCCCCTTCGCTTCCTTCTGGAGTCTCTCTCTCATAAAGGGGTTTAGAAAAGTCACTTATTAGAACAATAAGGTACGAAGAATTGAAAAAAAAAACGCATGTTGTTAAATCATTCTTGCAGTCCAGTTAAAAGTTCTGGTGTGTCTATTTCCTTTTGCTAGAAGAGTGCATGATGATGTATTTATCACCTGATTGGAACCCATGCAGATAAATAATAGGTACTGTACAGTATATACAGTGTGGGAAAAAGATTCCAGACCACCAAAAAAGAGCTAACATTGTACCTTCATGTACAGGGTGGTCAATTGTGACATTAAATAGCTGCTATTACCAAACATAGCTATTTGGTAGCTATGCTGCACTTCTTAACTTAAAGCTCTCTGCTTGTGTGAAATCAACATGCAACTAATGTTACTTTTTTTTTTTTAGTCACATTGAAAGCCATTACTAGTCTACAGGAAGGATGGATCCAATTTTCTCTTTTATTCCTTCCTTCACAGCCACCACTGGAAAAAACAAGATGAACAATTCTTTTAACTGTGACTTTCAAGACCGAGAAGTTTAAGTTTAATATTATTCAGAAAATCTATCCTTGCATTCGGCAGAACATATATTTGTTGGCTGAAGGCAACAGTGCTACATTGCTGGTGTGACTCATTGAAAAAGAACCCCTCAGACATTGTTTTGCAACAAGTCTACAGAGGCGTGCCCAAACTTCACTTTTTACAGCTGTTGCTAGGTTACAAACTATCCAGGGATCTTGGAAAAAAGTCTGAAATTATGGTCATTTTCCTCCTACAGTCAGACAGGATGCCTTACTGTTCCTAAATGGAAAATTCATTAGCTCTTATGTTTCCTCTTAAAACAGAGAAATGAAAAAGGAAGCCTGTATCTGCTTCTTTTGTCTACAGAGATCAAAAACGTTAAAAACGATGTACTGTAACCATGAGCCTAGATTCCCTGAAAATGGCTTTTCCTAAAACAGCACTCCAGCAAAGTAAAAAAACAACAACAAAGATGAGATCTACATCTTTGACAGAAACAAAGGGATTTCTAAACTATGGTTATATTTTCTTGTTCATGAGAATTTTACACTAAGGTAGAAAACCTGGAGAGTCATTTTTTAACTTCTAGTTATGTTTTCAAAACATCTCATTATCCACACTGAACAAAATACCCGCTGGATATTTTCTTTATGAACCCATACAGAATGGAAAAAACTACAAGGAAACCCAGGGAGCACAGTCACAGTTTCCAGATTGATACCATATGCTTTTTATGAGGAGACTAAAATATCCAAGAACAAAAGTGCAGCGGTGTGTGTCTTAAATAGGAGATGCCTACAACATATAATTTAAGAGATTTCACCAGTAATCAAAATTGCTGGTAAGCATAGAAAACAAAATTGTCCTTTTGGAAACACAATCAAGTACTGTAATCTCTGTCATAGAGTGAGGTTTGATTTTGCGTTTGTAAGCAGGAAATAAAAATCTGAAACGGAATCTATTTTTCTTTTAGAAATGCATACACTTAATTTCCACTTTTCCAATTTCCAGCCTTTAAGACAGCTAAGCACCATTAATACAAGATATCAGGACATTTGAACAAGTCTGTTTATGTTTAACATTACCTAAGTTTTCCAAAGAATGTGTATAACATACCATATGTCTAAACTGAAAACTAATCTCTACTTTTTAAAACATCTTTTTGTCCTTTGTAAAAATATGTGAGTATACTGAATGCAGATGGGAAAGGGATTTCCTATTTTTACTCATACATACACCTGCTGTATGGAAGTAGGACTGTAAAATAATTTAGTTGTGTATTTACAATTTACTTACTCTATTTGAGTAGCGTGCAGGCACAGCTATAAAAATATGTTATCTTTTGCAATACTTTCATGGAAATATTTACTTAACCTTTTTTGTTCTCCACACTGTCATCAGCAATGAAAGTCTATTAATTAAGTGCAAATTGATATTCTGTAAGATTAGGCTTGAATTAAAAAAAAAACACTTTTCCCCAGAAAACAAAACATTCCATTTAAGGAGGCGCTTTTGTAAACCATCACAAAACTTCCCCAGCTCCTATTTATTTGGATCTTCATTTTTATTCCAAGTAATTAAGGAAGAAATACAACACTGATGTTTCCTAAAACATCCCGCAATTACACTATTACTAGCTTTTCAGATTTTCTAAAAAGAGGTCAACATGCATTAAGTCATTTTTAACAGTGAGCAATTTAACAACCATTCCCCGATCTTATAGAAGGCCTTTCACTCAGTTTTCTGCAGAGCTTCCCAGACATTGCCGAACAGGTCACAACACAGCACCACAGGGTGTGGAAATAGCAGAGGACAACAATACAGTCTCTAATAAAGACACACCTGTAGTGTCATGGGCGGCATTCCCTTAGGTTTCTCCAATGTCCAACTAATAGTTCAGTGATAAGCCACTACCAATACACACCACCCTTAATACCGTATACCGTATCTTTTACTCTATAATAATATGGCAATGGAAATAATTGCACTCCTGAAAGCTATGGTACATGTGTATTGTGCTAACTTACTATTAAAATTATTTCTTCTCATGAAATGAGAATTTTAATGTCATCTTTCCTGGAGATATTCCTGTGGCAGGTTGTTTGAAAGAACCTCAAGCCTTTTGTATCCGGTAATGCCACACAGTTCACGCTCTTAACAGCACTAAATGAAAGAAGAGCCACACAAGCATGTTTCCTCATCCCCCGAATATCGCTTTTGACATTCCTCAAACACAGCTATCAACCAATACCCCCTTGTCTCTGTGATGGCGATTGACCTCCACTGTACTGCTGACTCTTCATTACAAAAGCAAACACCTCCAGGTATCTGCAAAGAGCTGATTATTCTTCAATAGCAGAACAGGCACAGACAGGAATTTTAACAACTGGCTTAACCCAAAAAAATCTCAAGTGGCCTTTCAAAAGACAAAAGGGCAAGGCCTTTGCTATTGCTATAAAACTGAAACCCCAGAACACTCACTTGTCTGTTTAACGAGATTATTTGCTTGACAGATGTGTTTTTGAAGGGTTACATACTGTACAAAAGCAAAGTGCAACAATACTTGCAATTCTTGTTGATTATTGCTTATAATTAAGGTCTTTTTTATCAGTCAAGTACTTACTGTTAGAACAGCAGATTTAATGAAGGTGCCTCCCTTTTGTTTGGTCTAGTCACTACATTGAACTTTTGACAGAAAATATGCAAATTAAATCACATTTGAAGGTACATACTTATTTTGACCAATGGTTTCATAATCCTTGACAATGACTTCAATAAATGAAGAGGAATCCAGAGGGGTTGCCTTTAAATCAAACTCAAGGACCTAGAATTAGAAAGGAAATTAGTGTTAGTTTCTCTGTTGTAAAACAGCATTTCTGTCCTAGTGGCAAAGTCATTAATTTAAAGACGATTCCAAAAAAGGGAAAACTGGGCAGAGTGTCAAATCCAATGGGTACATCGTTGATCCATAACCGTTCAGCATCACAGGCTTTGCAGATCTGCACTGATCACCGTATAAAAGCGATTTACTACAAAAATATCAAAACTGTAAAATCAAGTTCACAAGACGAAAGTTTTGATTACTAAGTCAACTTTCTCTCGAGAAAGTATTCAAATTCAGGTACTTGCTGCAACTTCCTCTCATAGGTACAAGATAAACAGTACTGACCTCCACATTCTAAAGAACAAAGCGGTCCCTGGCTTCTCTCCCACTAGCAGTGATTTACTGTACCAATGTAAAGATCCCTGCAATTTCAGACTTGGCAAATATTGGAACAGGGGGTACAAGGAACACAGATATAAAAACAAATGCCTTACTTCATTCCAAACAGGATTGGTTTCACTGTTTATGGATTTGGTTTTCTTCTTCTCGGCTGAAAAAAAAAAAGTTTTAATCTGAGTATCTCATAGTAGGAGAACGATTGTAAACAAAGCTATTTGAACACTTTTCTGTCCCATAGGCCTTTCAGGGACTCCCTAATGTCAAAAGGGTTATAATTTTCTGTACCGCTGCGGCCTGGGGAAGAGTGATGAACGTGACCCTCAACGAAAAACAAAGGTCATGCGAGATCAACTTTGTCACGATTTACCCCAAGGGCGTCAGTTCTACTTTTTTCAGGTTCCATTGTTGTCACACACGGAACTTTTCTATTAGAACGTTAGCTTGTTACAGTAAGTGAGTTTTGATTTCACAGTGGCTACATACTGTACAATGCTACACACAAACAGCATGCCTACCATGGGAACGTGTGTTGTCCCTTACAGACACAGAGCATTACGCTCTTCGCAAATGTAAAGTAGACGTACTGTACGGGGGGCAGGGATTGCAGGGGGGAACTCAAAACCCACGCATCCAGCGTGACATAAATACTGGATGACATAATGTATTTGAACAGCGCAAGAGAAATTAATAACAATTGTGCAATGCAGGAGCTTAAAAAACGAAGGAGGTTATTATTAAAATGGAAAATGAGGCAACTCCGTGTTGAAATTCTGCTTCCTTAAAAAAAAAATCCACACCCAAAGGTAATATGATCGCAAGCAGCAGCACAGCCATTAGCGTTAGCGAAAGGAGGCAGCGATTCAAGCTCTATCCCCTTATTTGGGTATGCTTTTTTTTTTCCATTTTATCGCCTCAATGTGAAAATCTGGAATTCCATTTCATGGGGATGAACAGATTTCTAAAGTTCAAAAGTCTGCATCTGATGGACCAATATCCCTCAGTTTTAGTTTCGTGAAAAAATCCATTAGGCGGAAACTCCGGTGTTTCTGTTGTCCCAATGTGTTCAGATTTCTGTTGCTGATTTGGGTTTGTGTTAAATGTGCTCATCGTGTAGCTCTAAACACAGAATACAAAAATCCACCGGACGCCCCAGAAGATTAGTATAAATTATTTCTGAAAAACAATGGCCTGGCTGCTTAATTCGGCAGACTGTGTATTTGTTTGTGGAAAAAAAATACTAACAGACGTGCGTTCTTCTACAATACGTTAAGGAAAAAGGACCATAAGAAATTAGTGTATCCTGAACAAACGTGTTTTCATTTCTTTAATATATGTCTACAGGAAACGGCTTCCAACCCTACAGTACAAAAAAATTTTCAACGTGAAATTTTAAACATCATTTTAAGGGGTTCAAATATAGTCTCACGAAAACGTTGTTCATTCCATGCAGATTTATTTTGTTCCACTGTAAAGATTTGTTATGCAAACTTTTTTCCTGTTTATTATACAATTTAACAAGACTGCTTAATCTTCTGACTCATAAGGAGTTGCTGTTTTTTTTGTTCGTGGAAGATATTTCACTTTGGTAAACTGGGGTTATGCGAGCACCATATTGTTTGGCCTAAGATCTAGTCAACCATTTTTTCCCTATATGCAACATGATAAACACAAATCAAGTAACTCGGTCTTTTACACATATACAGTAAATCGCTATCTCCGAATACAAGTATGAATTCCCATGTTACAGTAGCTACGATATTCAATACAGTAACCACTAAAATGGGCTTTCTGGTTGGAAATCATGTCCTATCATCTAAACTATTCTATGGTTTTCCTAACATTAGTCAAGCTCTAAGTGCTATAAAATGACACTCATTATAAACCGCAATTTATTTGGTCTTTCTGGACCTCATTCTCCTCTGGTCTGTCACATTGCACTGGGCGTTCCTGAAGACTGAACAAGAACATGAGAACGGTGCCAATCGACAGGAGAGGCCATTCTGCCTATCTAGCGCATGTGGTAGATAGTACTCTTCAGAGATTTAACCATTCTTGGTGAGCAAACACCTCTTTGTGCCGTTCAGAAGCATCTTGAATGGCTTTGTTATTCAACACAGTGACGCATATTAAACTCTTCGATGCAAAATGGTCTAGACCTGCCTGAACGTCTCTGGAACCCAACGGATGATTGACGCTGTAATTGATGTAGTAGTGCAGCGGGGGTAAACTGTCCGGTTGCCAGGAGGGGAAGGGTCAGACATATCTCAGGGCCAAGTGCCTGACAGATGCATAGGATGCATGTTTAATGTCCTTCCTAACATCAAAATAAAAAATATACAATGGTGGTGCATTATTTTCTATTGTTTCGGATTGATCTATGCAAGACTATTTTATGACTACCCCTATCCTTCAGAAAGATTTGCAGGGATTGAGGTACCCTTGCTTCTGAAGAGATCTGAAGAAACTATAATAAATCACTGACAGACTCTAAAATTGATATTTCCCAATTAGTCTCTCCGATTTAATCTCCTGCATAGACAACTGACTAAACATAACATATTCCACTTCGCTCCTCGATTTCTGCTTGTTTTACAAGGTTTTCGTTTCCACCAAGCGCACACAACCTCACACACAAAAAAATGTGTGAATATGCCGAGATCACACTTGCAAAATGTTTTTTTACTAATGTTGTGCTGATTGATAGTATGAACAAAAAACGCCCAACTTTTTTTGATGATGAAAAAAACAGAAACGAGTACTTTTCGAGGTCATATTTGCAGCGTTTAAGGATTTCTTTTTTAAAAATTTGATTACTGATGCTTGAAATAACTTCGTGAATAAAAAAAAACTCCTGTTAACTGACGTGACTTAACTCCATCAAAGGTGAGAAAGGCAAGATCTTACCTTTGAAGACAACGGTTACTATGGGGTCTGGATTTCCAAGTTTCTTTTTGGGCAGACCTTTCGCGGATTCCACAGCTACACGCAGCATTGCGGCGACGAATTGTTTTTTTTTTATTCCGTTTTTTGACCGAAGTAAAGCCGACCCAGTTGCTGCATGCTCACTTGCGACAGCTTTTCCACGTCTCACAGGGAGCAGCGCAGCTAGAGAGGAAACGCACGGTTTGTGCAATTTGGGAAAGGAGAAGAGGGTGGAACTGAGGGAGTGGCAAATACCTGTATTAAAGGGAAAACATCAGGCAGGTAAAGCTTTTTGTTTGGGGGGGGGGGATTCAGAGTTCAAGGGTGGAAATAACTACAAATTCGTTCCTGCTGTCGGCAAATGTTCCACAACATTCTACTGTCTTATAAAGCATACTGTATGGGATATACTCTGGTTAAGATTGGTAATTTAATCTAGGTGCAGTATATCATAGTTGTATTCGCACATTTTAATTAAAACCTAAAAAAAAATACATAGTAACTTCAATAAACTATAAACTATGTTGATTGACCTGATCGAGGTACTTTTTCAGTTCCAAGGGAAGTACAGAGCAGTTTTGTCTATACAGTAGCTCGAATCTCAAACCTCCGTCTACCTTTCTGACTTCGCGTTTCGCTCATGTGATGTGTATCAGAATGCAGTGTGATGCACCTTGTTGTTTTCTGTGTATTATTTAACTCTAAACGACCTGACTTGTCTCGCCTCAGGTTTTGTTCCTTAAAGAAATTCGGAAGACAATAAATCGGGGTTAAACGCCACCTTGTGGTTAAATCATTATTTAATTAATAATCGTACCGTTTAAAGTACAGTATGGATACAAGTACGTACAGAACGAATAAACGGTTGATTAGAGACTGAACATTTAATATAATGTTAATTCCAGGATATTATGTTATGTATTACAGTAATCTTCACAATGCACACAGAACTGATAAATCACTTGTGCGCTACGTCAAAATAATTATGATTTAAAAAGAATTATTACTAATTAAAATGCTGTTTAACCATTTTACATAAGTATTGCAAAGGTCTTAAGAACCTTACTGTGGGGTCTCATTTTGTGAAATTATAAACCGATGCAAGCACTTTATTTTTTAATTTGGTGCTTGACCAGCTCTTTTCCTCGCTCTGCTGCATTATGGGAAAGGAAGCCGACGTGAGTCATGACTGGCGATGCAAGTGCCTCTGGTGTATTGCTGGAGGCAACAGCAGAGCTGACAAGTGTGTCATTTCAGGACGTCTCTCCAAAGGTTTTACGGGCAACGGCTGGACTGTAAAAAAACAACTCCAACAGGAAGTGCAAGCCAGCCCGCAAGAAGCTGTTGAGCTGCTTCTCACATCTCATTCAGGTCTGTGTCAACTGCCAGTGGTAGAGTGATCCCATATTTAATATACCCTGTAACGCACAGCTGCAACCCATTGAAGCTAGACAGGTGTTAGCCTGGTCAGTACCTGGATGGGAGATCTCCTGGGAAAGCTAAGGCTGCTGCTGGAAGAGATGTTAGTGAGGCCAGTAGGGGGTGCTCACCCTGTGGTCTGTGTGGGTCCTAATGCCCCAGTATAGTGAGGTGGACACTATGCTGTAATAAAGGTGCTGTCCTGGTGATAAGATGTAAAACAAAGGTCTTGACTCTCTGTTGTCATTAAAAATCCCAGGGTGTTTTTTAAATAGTAGAGGTGTTAACCCAGTGTCCTGGCCTAATTTCCCGCCTAGGCTTTACCAATCACAGCCTCCTAATAATCCTTATCACTCTGTTCTCCTCCCCAACTATAGCTGATGTGTTGTGAGTGTACTGGTGCACTTTAGCTGCTGTCGAATCATCCAGGAGGGCTACACATTGGTGGTGGAGGGGAGTTCCCATTACCTGTAAAGTGCTTTGAGTGGAGTGTCCAGAAAAAGTCTATTTAAGTGTAAGGAATTTATTTTATTTAACTATGGACATTAGCAAGACCCTTCCAGAATCAGTGCCAAGTAGCTATAATCACACCTGGAGGTGGGCTGAGCTGCTTTTAGGGGATTCTCTCATTTTGTGCTAAGGCAATAAATACGCAGCATATTGTATGCAAGGAAGAAAAAGCAGGAGATTCTGGAGATGTATGCAGGGGTTCAATAATAATCAGTAATAATGTGGTCTAATTAGAGATTATTGAATACTTAGTATCCTCTGTTTAGTAGTACTTGAATATACAGTACAGGGTTTTGAAAATGCAGTAATGACACACAATGCTCCAGTAATCCTAAACTACAAGACCTCCAGAAGCTCTGTGTATAAAATACAAGCCCTGGAGTTGTGATTTATCACAGAAAACCTGCATCCTTTTGTTGATACATAGTACAATGGCCATATTGATATTGTAGGATACATAACGCTCTATTAATAGTGCAGGAACCATGAAGGCCAGTTCTGAAAGCAATCTCTAATGATACTAGAGATTAATAATGTGGTTTTAGACCACAGGGATTCTGTAGGCTCTGTAAATAATGAAGTAGCCCAGATCTATTAATACCACAAAAGCCATGGAAGTTCTATTAATAAATGAGGGTCTGGTAAGATCTATCAATAATGCAGGAACCCTATAGTATATTTTGATAATACAAGGATCTATTAATAACAGAGGAGTTTAGTTTAAGGAGGAGTTTTAGAGGAGTTTAGATTTATAATCATATGCTCATCACTACAGATCAATATTATTGATGTATAATAATAATATAATAATTGCTTACACTTATATAGCACTTTTCTGGACACTTCACTCAAAGTGCTTTACAGCAGCAACCTTAGATTTTCCCAGGAGGTCTCTCATTCAGGTACTGACCAGGCTCACACCTGCTTAGCTTCAGTGGATTGCCAGTAATTATATAGTAATTAGTAATTACACTGTATATATGACCATGCTGTATATTTCTGCCATGTGAATATTTCTGTGCATGATTACACAAGTTTTGGAGGGACATACAGAAATTGGGATGATTTATTTTTAATAAATGATACCTGAATATAAAGATATAGTATAGTCATGTTTCCACACTGATTACTGTGTGAGAGTCTATACTACAGTGAATATGAGTAAAAGCGAATGGGAATCACAGACACAAAAATAAACTAACAGTCTGTTGCCAAAAACAACTGGCCAAACTACGTTCATTTAGTTGAAGTGTTTGTTTAGTTGATGTATGCATTTCGTAAGCAGAAGAAATATGATTTTGTCTATGATAATATAAACCAGGTTACTTTCAGACATGGAGTAGATCAAAAGGATTCATGTACACAATTATATCTTCTGCTACTAATCACATACATACTGTACGTTTAAGACCCCCAGGTGATGAACACTGTTAGCACATTTTAATCTGAAATTTGTCAATCTGGCTGTGAGAGACGACCACACTCAAAAAGTTAAGAATTGCAAAGATGCTGCGAAAGAATCTGTAACTGCTGTAACTCCCTTAACCTTATTATTTCTTGATGTCAAGTGACGTTCTCCAAAATATCTAATACGTGGAAACAAATAAGCAAAAATAAAGGTTATATGCACTTTTTACTAGCCTTCCTTTAAAATTATGTAGCGCTCTGACGTCTCCGTCATATTTAAGGAAACGGAAGTGACGTCGCGGCGCTGTTTTCAAACTTGATTTCAATCCCGGAAAAGAGCGAGCTGTCTAACACCAACGCTTTTTTAGATGTTAGAGACAAGTCTTTTACAGCTGGAAAGAATAACGGTGAGGTCTGTTTTGTAAATATGTCAATTTTAGTACCTTCATACGCACAGCTTGTTTAATTTATTATTTTAACTGCTCACTTTTTATTTTTCTAAGGAGTTTGACGTCTTCGCGTTTTATTCATGTCGTTTTGGATCTCTTTAAAGTTTAAACTATATTATGTGTAACAATGTGTGTATATATATATGTAGCTAAAAAAGAACGTCCATGTCTTCTGTTTAAGTGTTTATAACGGTAAACGTTTGTTTAATTACTACTTGTGGCGCTGATATTTGTCTCTCCACGCCCTGCGATACAGGCCTTTCCCATCATTTAACTTAGAGATTTATAAGATCTATGGTATGGATTTGATTTTTATTCTTTCTAGAGTTTTCCCTGTATCCCGTCTTCGTTTGTGTATGTGATCTAATGTATTTTTGTCTTGAAATATCCGCCCGAATCGCTTTTCAGTTAGTACCTATATCATTGGATAATTGGTACATGTTTTATTTTAATAAATGGTATCTTTTCTAGATAACACTCAAATTATGACATCCAAAAATGCAAAAGACAATATTGTCAACAAGCTGGGACTGAAGCTGGGCAGCTCCAGATCTGACGTGGAGCTCGATAAACTGCGAAAGGAAAATGCTCTTCTGAAAAAGACAATGGATGACATGTCTAAACATAAAGGCAAGATAACCGAGTCAGAAAAAAGCAAACTTCTAGAGGTACGGTATTAAAACTACCATTTTATATTTTCCCCTTAAAACATGAAAGTAGTCGAAAGGGTTGTGTGAGTGTGGAACGAGATATCTAGCCATGTTATTGAAGCTGGCACCTTGGTATCTTTCAGGAATCAGCTGGATGACGTCTAATTATCAAACAGGATTGATGGGCCAGATGGCCTCCTGTCCTTTGTAACTGTTCTTTTCTGTAGAGGCTCAGATTCAGTGTTCATGCAGTGTTGGCAAATACTGTTGTAAAAAAAAAAACTGAAATGAATTGAGAGTTCATGGGATGATGTTAATGGCATGCAATGTCCATGGCTTTCCTTTCCAAAGAGTTTAAACTAAGCATCTAGTGAAAAATCATTAAATATTGATTCCTTGTTGTGAATTCAAGGCTCTGTTTTAAAGCATTTCCTGAACACACAATAGTGCTTGGCACAGCATACCTGAAGGTGTGCAGAAGAACAGCTGGTTACTGTGTTATGGTTACCTGTAGTTTTACAGATTATGAACGAAGTTGGAAAATATTTTCTTACTATATTAAAGATTGTATCCAAAAAAAGAAATATAATTTAGAATACAATCAAAGTTTTCTTCAGTTTAAGACTTGACATTTAAAATGAAATGTTTCATTAGTTAATGAGGGCTCAGTAAAATAACAGATTTCCCTCAGTAGAAAGCAAATTACGTTTAGGTTTTTGTGTTGGTATCCAAAATCTTGGTATTGAACATTTGATTCATTTTTCTTTCAAAAACCCAGGATATAGTGAAGGAGTTCTTGGGTATTTGTTCAGAAAGTGATCAGGAGTAGTGAACATGAGGGATTCTATTTGTAATTATATGAGTGTTTTTTTAATCAATACAAACTTATTTTTTGCAGAAGATTCTTGCACTTGAGACGATAAAGGAGAAGAATGCCCAGCAGCTCCTCACCAAAGAAAAAGAAATTGTTACCCTGAAGCAGCAGCTTAAATCAGGAGGCAATGAGAATGTGTCTGTGCTGCAGGCCCAGCTAGAAGAAAAGAATAAGGAAGCAGAGAGGAGAGAGAAGCTCTTTCTCTCTCTTGCAGAGGAGACAGAAAACTTGAAGAACAGATTGGTGGTAGTTTCAACAAAGTGCCAAGAACTTGAAAGGAAATATGAGCAAGACCCTGTCTTACAGGTAAGATCAAAGTTTTGTGATAGTATGCTGCAGGTTTTTTTCATGTTCTGAATATTCAGAAAAAGCTGGACATTTCTCAAGTAATGAAAAATGACCTTAATATACATGGAAAGTATAAATAAGACTTGTATTTACACAGTGCGTTGGGACAAAAGCCACTTAAAGGTTATAATGTTTCTGATTGAGTTAACCTACACCATTTTAACACCGTTAGGAAGAGGTGAGTGTAGTGTAGTTACAAGTGGGAATGTAATGGCTACATAGGTGTCATGGAAAACCCCAAAAATATCATGGAAGTGTCCTGGATATTGATATTTGAGGGACTGTGAGAACCATATTGTAATTTTATACAATACCATGAAATCTTTTTCTGTTTCATTGTATCATAAGATTAGTGTTATTAAAAATAATTTAGATAGCTTATTGTCCTAAATACATACATTTCCACCATGAAGCAGTTTTATTGTAGAGGGAACAAAGAACTTCTGATAAATAGTTTTTGCTTGACTTTGGTACCCTAAGCCATCTTCCTGATGGGAGCATTACAAACTGAAGATGGAGTGGGAAGAGCTGCAATACTCCTCACCATTGTGAGAACTGGGTTATGGTATAAATCACCAGGCTGGGTCTGCCGTTTCCCAGTTATTTCTCACATTGCCATTCTCACACTTTGATACTTACCTTTCACCCCTAGATACCACACTGTCATATTACATGCAAACATACTCTTAACAAGGCTGTAATAAGCCATCTCTAGCACACTTTGACTAACATTAAAAGCTTTAAGTTTTTTAATTAAAAAAAACCCTGCCTCTGATTTGCTTTCTTTAAGTATTATCTGTATTCTCAGTGTAACTCAACTTCTGATCATTGTGTGTTCCCAGATATTAAATGCAACAGAGGCAAAAAATAAATATGATAAAATCCAATCCCACCTAACATTTCGAGTTCAGTTGTCAGCAGCCATATCACCCTGCAACTCACAACTGGCAACCCACTGAAGCTAAGCAGGTGTGAGCCTGGTCAGTACCTGGATGGGAGACCTCCTGGGAAAAACTAAGGTTGCTGCTGGAAGAGGTGTTAGTGGGGCCAGCAGGGGGCGCTCACCCTGCGGTCCATGTGGGTCCTAATGCCCCAGTATAGTGACGGGGACACTATACTGTAAACAGGCCCCGTCCTTCGGATGAGACGTAAAACCGAGGTCCTGACTCTCTGTGGTCATTAAAAATCCCAGGGCGCTTCTCGAAAAGAGTAGGGGTGTAACCCCGGTGTCCTGGCCAAATTTCCCCCCTGGCCTTTACCCCATCATGGCCTCCTAATAATCCCCCTCTATGAATTGGCTTCATTACTCTGCTCTCATCCCCACTGATAGCTGATGTGTGGTGAGCGTTCTGGCGCACTATGGCTGCCGTCGCATCATCCAGGTGGATGCTGCACATTGGTGGTGGTGGAGGGGAGTCCCCATTACCTGTAAAGCGCTTTGAGTGGAGTGTCCAGAAAAGCGCTATATAAGTGTAAGCAATTATTATTATTATTATTAGTTGATTTAACGTACAGTATACTGTAATACGTTGCTATATTAACTTTTTGTAAACAGCAATATTACAGATACGTTTTAAGTGCCCACTAGATGGCACCATCAACATTTTAAGTGCTTCAACTAACAATGTTCGTAGAAATTTGTTTTTCACCAGATGGCGTTGTGGCTTGTCTTAAAATGTACTTGCTTCTCTGAATAGAAAGTACAAAAAGCAGTTGGTGTTTGAATATAGAAGAGTTCTGAATGCTTTGGTACATCTTTGTAATGCAGGCATTCTATTATATGTAAACATTTGCATAAGGACAAATATCAACTTCTGCCCCTTAAAAATACAGATTTTGGACCTTAAACATAATAGTATGCAATAACAACTTTCAATACCATTAGTAAATGCATACTTTGATTTGGAATTACACTTTTCTGACTTGCCAAATAAAGTATCACTATCAAGAAATCATTTCATGACAAAGAATACCTAAAACATACTTTCCTGTCCTTTAAGGATTATGGGTTTAAACGTCTGAAGCTGGAACTCAGCATTACAGAGAGGTGTAACAATATTCTTCAAGCCTTAAGTTTATTCCTTTTGAAGTAGATAATAGCACAGTATTTTCACTAAGCCAGTACAATTTAATATATTTATGAATGCACATGTAATATAACTGCTGTTCTGTTTTTTCTTAACCTTTTGGGGGGTGAGAAAAATCACTTAAATTTAAATGAGTGGTTGTCCAGTTTAGATATACTCTTTGAATGGATGCTTATGTCATTTATAGTGAGGTAGTTCTAGCATTTCAGTACATAACTAGGCTAGATGCATGTAATCATTTGACAGACCTTTAAAGTTTCAACATAAAGTAAATATTGAGATCTCCTAGAATGTTAAAGTACAGAAAAGAACAGTCTTTGTGGCCTTGATTATTTTATTCTACTGCCCACTGAAACTTGACTCAGCTCAGCCAAAGATGATCTTCAGAGAAAGATCATCTAAGTGAAGTTGATCCTTGAACAGGAGCAGTGTGGTGCAGTGGTTAGGATTGTGGACTTGTCACTGGAGACACACAGGCAGGAATGTCAGGAAAAAGGGATGTAGGAGAGCAGAGTTTTTATAAATGATCATCAGTTGAATAAACAAATGGCTATTTACTTTGTCACTTAAAATGGTTACACAGGGGTCATCCCAAATCACAAAGTCCCTGGGTTACACACCAATAGTGATTTAATTTTAAGGGTAGTGTATGTCAAGCTAGGTTTCCAGTAATCAGCAAATAATCGTTTGAAAGGCCATTAATCTTTATACATGTTTTAAACAATATAACAATCCTTTGTTCTAAAATCTCATATTTTAGGACTGGGTCAGGCTCTCTTCCATGCTCTGTTGATGTTAATTCTCCAGAGCATATGATGATTCGTGCACAGCCTCACAATATTTTGTGAAAATAAAATCTGAACAGTCAGAATGCATTCATGTGTCTAATGCAGCTTTATATCTTTGATAGGAGGCTTTCCATGATGCTACCTCCGTTTTGATTACTTGAGAAGAATAATAGCTGCAAAATGCCAATTAACTGGTTATACATTTGCCTGTTACTAGTTACTGCAGATACGTATGAATAAGTTTTAGTTAGAATGAAGTCAGATATAAACCCTTCAATGGTGCTGTTTAGCATTGTGATTTCACGCACTGTTTTGTAATTTGTAGAAATCCAAATCCGACGGACAGGTTGCCCCTGGTGAAATTGCTGTGCTACAAGAACACCTAAAGGATGTGAGTATTGTGCTGTACTACTAATAATAAAGTTTAAAGGCAGAAAAGTAAAAGAAGAATTAAAACAATGAAAACAGCATCAAAGTTAGGAGATAAAACTCACGCAAAGAAACAGATGGTTTCATAATGTAATGTGAAGGCGTTGAGGGAAGGTGACTCCCTGAGGTCCTTGGGGGCGGATAGAGCTTTGGGGCATAGCAAGAGAAGGCCCTGTGACTGAAAGCATCTAGATGACAGGCAACCAGAGTCGGACAAATGAAGCCTGTGAGGTGAGGAGTAGGAAGATAATAAGTCAGAAAGGTACTGAGGTCCCAAGCCATGTAGAGTATTATAGTTGAGCATGAGGATTTTGAGGTCAACACAAAGCCTGGTTGGGAAGCCAGTGCAAGGACTCCATGACGGGAGTAATGTGATCACTTGCTCTAGACCTGGTTCAGAGTGGATTTAGGTACCCCAGCGAGTAGGGCATTGCAGTAATCAATTCTAGAGAAGATAAATGTGTTGACCTGCTTTTCAGCAACAGTCAGAGACAGCAGCCTGGCAATATTTCTGAGGTTTCTAAAGGACAACTTTAATCGCACATATGCTGTTTTTCTTCCTGTTATCTGGCCATTATGTATGATGGAAAATAGTTGAAATCTTACTAAGATATGAAAAAAAAACTGTCAATGTTTGCCAATAATTGTTCCTTTTTCCTAGAGAGCTGTCATGACATATATTTAAAGTGTTGTGTATTTCTATATAATCTGTGCCATTGTTGTTTCACAACCTTTGCCGAAAGGCTCTTGAGAAGAACCAGCAGTGGCTGGTTTACGACCAGCAGCGAGAGGCCTATGTGAAGGGAATGCTGGCACACATCTTTGAGCTTGAAGAGCAATTAAAAAAAGCCAACCAAGCGCTCCAGGAGCAACACAAAGCAGGCAATTCAGAAGGTAAAAAAAGTGGGCAGAGATTATCAACATCTGGACAGCATTAGCTTTTGGCTGTTCTTTCAGTTAAGACTAAGCCTTAAGTATGTCTTTAAAGCTGAAAAATTGTCAGAGTTTCAGATCTTTCTAAAAACATTTCATAGTGTTCAGAAATGGCATTAGGACACCTATGAAACATTTTTTCACACATTCACTGTTTTCCAATAATGCACATGTATTTGGAAAATATATCAAAGTACAAAGTACTTCAAACATGTTTATAGCAAGCTTATACTGTTTTTCAGCCAGAGCTTTACATGCATTTGTGAAGGCAATTCAAAATAAATGTGTATTTTTTTTACTTTTTCTTTTTAATAGAAACAAAATCTGTCACCCAGCAAGAGTACTATGACAAGCTTTTACTAACAGCCAAAAGAGACCTGGAGGCACAGAAGGAGACCATAAGCCAACTAAAGGACGAACTGTCTGTGGCAAAAAAGAAGTATGAGGGCAAGTGTCAAGAAGTGAAACATCTGGATCAGCAGCTCCAGTCGGAACGCCTCAACGCCAGGCAATGTGTAGGAGAGGAGAAGCAGCGCTCAGGAGACAAAGTGGAGCGATTGAAAGCTGAACTGCAGAGTGTGAAAGAAAGGCTCGAAGAAGAAAGGAAGAGGTCGTCTGAGCTGTCGGCACAGGTACAGAAAGGAAAGAGCCCAAAGCATCACATTCAGTACATTGGCTCACAGGTCCAGTGTGTACAGGTGTTAAAAGACTACGAGTATATTTTCAACAGTAAGGAGGGTCCCTTCATTATGAGAGTTCACAAATAGCCCAACTAATTATGTTAAGGCTCTTGTTTCAGCATGTACTCTGAACCAGCATGACCAGTTTGGGTGTGATCAATGCCATTGCTTACTAATGGGGATTCCCAAACTGGTGGCAGACAATTGCTTGCATACAGCTAGGGTTTGTTGGGTTTGCATTATAAGAGATAAGATCACTTTATTAGCCATATACAATTTCTTGTATTAGGAGTTTGTCTTTTCGCATACCCCAGTTTGCTCTCCATGAGACACACAGACAGGGAGAGAAGCTTGGGGTCAGAGCGCAGGGTCAGCCATTTATACGGCTCCCCTGGAGCAGCTGGGGTTAAGGGCCTTGCTCAGGGGCCCAACTGAGTAGGATTCCTCTGCTGGCCGCGGGATTTGAACAGGCAACCTTCCAGCCACAGGCGCAGATCCTTAGCCACAGTGCCAAGCTCAGCCTGCTGTGCTGCTGCAACCTTTATAGCTTGCTGAGGACCTGCACGCTGGCCATGTTGCCCATGAGGGCTGCAGCAGTCCTCCAACAGATGCTAACTCTTTCATACAGACGCCGAGAGACCAGAAGCATGAACAATGGCAGATGCCCCTGGCTATGAGGGAAATATGCTCAGCTCTTGGATAATATCATGTTGAAGTGAAACTTGCAGACATTTGAGTTGATTCAAACAATAGATTCTAAATTTAAGTTTATTCTAAATTTAAGAGGTATAACATCAAAATCAGAACATGCCTCACAAAACATTAATTAGTATGAAATTTACAGTACAATATGTTTATCTATTTAACTAGAGCACAATAGTACTGTGGTAATACTACCTTTTATAAAGTAATGTTGTGTACAAACCTTTCCCTTACTTAAGATTAAATTTACCAACCTAATCCTAATCAATCTGGATAGATTTATTCTGATTAAAATGTTTTGTGTCCATTTGATTGTGGTAAAAGCAGTATTACCACGTTCTAGCCTGAGCTGCCCAGGTCTCCAGGCAAGGCCTCCATGGAAAGACATGTTGCTACTGTAAGTGCTGATTTTGGTGTGGAGCAGTAGGTAAAAGTCTTCCCTCTGGACCAGACCTTCCAAGCCAGTGCAGTATGGTGACTGGGGACATTGTGCTGTAGTATCCTTCAGATGAAACATTAAACTATTAAACTGAGGTCCTGATTATGTGGCCATTAGTGATCCCATGACACTGAATTGTAGGGTTTTTAACAAGTATTCAAGCAAAATTCCACTTCATGCTTCCACAATATGACCTATCTTAATGTCCCCCTCCAAAATGTATGTATAGAAAGCTTCTGGCACATATTGTCTGCATTGCATAATTTAGGTGATTACAGATCATATGAGAGAACCCACCTTTAAAAAGGGTTTTGAGATTATAAATTCCCTGTCATTTCAGTTATTTAAATGGATGGTTAGTGATTGATAGATTTTAACATCTTATTGCTGATACCGTATGAAAATATGTTCTACATGTCCAATAGGGTGCTAAGTGATAGTGATATGTGGAATTGAAGACTGTAGTATGTAGACAATGTATAAGTATAACAATGATACTGGTTAGCTGGATTAGATTTTGTTTTAAATTAAGGTATCTTTTAGGTGGTGTAGATTTTACATGCTTCTTTAAATTTTTAGCATGTTATTGCTAATCAGTTTAATGAATGTATGTTTTTTGCAGGTTAATCTGCTTCAGAAATCCTTATTAAAACAACAAGAGGAGCAAAAGAGAATTGCAGTGTTGGAGCATCAGGTACTAGTAGAGGAAAATAATCAGAGTATTTCAGTAATTCAAGAGAAACACTTTCTGTATTGATTTCTTGTCTAAAATGACTTGTTTTTTTATAGAATGATAATATAGTTGTGGTAACGTAAAAGGTTCTGTACAGATTCTTGATCTCATGACTTATCCAAACTGTCCATCACATATTTTTTATTCTGACTCAATTTGTCCCACCCCTTCAAAAGCAGGTTAGGAGGGGGTATGATTGATTCATACTGAAGAAGTATCTTTGGAGTGTTTTATTCTATATCACACATACAGTATAGGGGTGGAGCAGTGGCACTGTGGCTAAGGATCTGTGCCTGTGACTGGAAGGTTGCCGGTTCATATCCTGCAGCCGGCAGAGAGTCCTACTCCGTTGGGCCCCTGAGCAAGGCCCTTCACCCCAACTGCTCCAGGGGCGCTATACAATGGCTGACCCTGCGCTCTGACCCCAAGCTTCTCTCCGTGTCTGTGTGTGTCTGTGTGTGTCTGTGTGTGTCTGTGTGTGTCTGTGTGTGTCTGTGTGTGTCTGTGTGTGTCTGTGTGTGTCTGTGTGTGTCACGGAAAGCAAGCTGGGGTATGCAAAAAGACGAATTCCTAATGCAAGAAATTGTACAGGGCTAATAAAGTGATGTTATGTTATGTTATATCTAGGGAAATTAGTGAAGAAATTAAAACTTTATATAAACGTTAAAATATGAAATGTTTTGATTGTGGCTATCATTTCTACAAACCAAACAATCATTGTTTTGTACTGCCAGCATTTATTTAGTTTATTTGAAATTCTAAGAACTTTACACCTTTCCCAAATTATTTACTCTTTTCTGTTCTAGGTTATGTTCTTGGTACGCTGTTAGATGGCAGCATGCCTAATTTATATATTTTCCGCTCTTCAAAAACCTTTAAATACAGTGCTATTAAAAATATGCTTCAGCTTCTTGTTCTTTGTTTGCTTTCAATATCTTTGCTGTAAACACAATTTTTTTTGCCAATGTGTATTCTGTTTTGGATTTACTGTTAGATCCAGATGTCTGCAAAAGACTTTGAAAATGAAAAACTTGATCGACAGAGTTTACAGCAACAGCTGCATAAAGTGTTGAAGGAACTACGCAAAGCAAGAGACCAAATAACAAGACTGGAGACAACGGTAAGCAATACGAGGAACTGGAGTTCTGACTCTGTGCCACTGGATTCTGTGGTTAGTATTACAATCCCTTACAGATCGGTCTAACAGAAAAAGATCTTGATTATATGCATAATTCGATTGGTTAACATAATGGAATTTTTCCAATGTGATCTAAAGGTGTTATAGTTGTAAAATTGCATATAATTTAAAGTTTTGTTTTCAAGCTAATTTCATAAAGGCTGTTTTATTGATATCTAATATTTTTTCATTGTTTTATTAATTTTATGCTTTGTGTCATTGTGTGTTTCAGAATAAATTGCACGAGTGTCATATTTCTGAGCGTAGTCCTTACAACAAGCATGAGTTTGAGGAGAGAGCATCCTTACAGGATCCGATCTTCAGTCATTCATCCCCTGTGAGACCCTCCACTCTTTTGGATGAAAGTTTTCTTGAGTGCCCAAGGTGCAGAGCCCAGTATCCTACTAGCCAGCACCGGGAGTTACTTGCACACATTGATTACTGTTCAAATTAATCTGTTTCAGTGTAAAAAGTGTTTAACTTGAATTGTTTGTAGGAAGGTATTTTTATACATTGCTTTCAAAGCAGAAAACTACTGTACTCCATTTGCACTGCAGATTAACATATAAAGAAATATTGCAGATCTTTATTTTTTTCCATTTTGTGTATTTTTAAACTCTTGATTTAAAGATTTATAGCCCTGCTTTCTGAAAATATTTTAAGTCCTTAAGATAAGTTGCCTCAGGTTCAGCATAGAATTTTTCATGATCCTTAAATTTAACTTATTTTATGTCAGTAAAGTAATTAGCAGAAATCATATACTGTGTGTTATTACATTTTCAGCTCTTTAAGTAGTGAAGTTTTATATATCATGGTCGATTAGCCAGTTTACAGCCAAAGGAACATTTACATTCTTCATATGTTGTGCTTCTCCTTAGAGTCATTCTAAAGCACTCCTGTTTGTCTAAGTCTTGTAATAAGGTGCATTTCTAACTGACAAAATAGTCCTGTACTTTGTAGCTCAAATTAGACTTGCGTAAGTAATTCCTTGTATTATACTATTTTAAGTGGTGGATTACAGTAGTTAGTTAGGGGTAGAGGGGTTAAGGATAACAGTTCAGACAAGGCTCTTAAGAATGTGACTACTGGAGTATAACTGCCAGGTAACTGCATTAGAAAAAGCTTTTAATATGGTTTAGACAAACCTTACATCAGCTCTGACATAAAATTAAAATACAACATTTTCTTCCATAAAATCTAGGATAACTTAAAATGTTAATGCTTGGGTGGTTTTTGGAAAGTGAAGCCATTTTCAAAATTATGAATTATTTTTGAACCACCTCTATTTTGGTAAATCTCATGTTTGCCCAAGGAGCCCTGTTGTCTTTATAATTAGTTTAAAAAATGGAGGGAAAAGTAATGGATACATACTCTGCCTTTTGTTACCAAGTGTTTGTAATAAAAGAATGTAAAACTATTGTCTCGGAATCTTCCCTTTTTTAATTGTAAATTTGTTTCATAATGTTTTTGAGAAATGCCTTCATGAACAGCTGTATGTGTTTTTTATACTACATGTAATAATGGTGTTAAGCTATGCAGTAAAGCAAAAAATGGAACCAGTTGCGATTTCTTCCTACAAACTTTATGAATGTCTATTACTGTAAATATTTATCCGAGTCTCATTTTGCAAGGATAATTTGAATCCCATGGTGAGACGGTGCCCTCACATTTCAGCTATGTAGACAGAGCAAACAAGTGGCAGTTAAGAGATAAAGTGGTTTAAAGTGGAGTTTGGTTTTTAAACAATGATTAAAGAAACTAGCAATATTTACTTTCTGACCTGTTACCATACAATGCTAAATGGCTTTAAAAACATACATTGCTGAGAACAAACATAACACTGGTGACTTTTTTTTTTAAGGTGCCAAATTCACTGCCCTATGAACAACTTGGTTTGTACTGTAGGTATGAAGCTAGCCATGATTGGAACACAACTTAAAAATTACTGGTTCTTGTGAACTGGAGAAATTTGTTTAAATTCAACTGAGCATTATGAATGTTATGAATGAATAGTTATTTTTGTTCTTAGATTTAAGGAAATGGACAATGGCAGGTAGAAAACCTTATGAGAAGTTTGTGGATTCTACAGTAAAATTTTGTCTCAGGTGGGGTTTAGGCACCTAAGTCTGAATATAGATATCCTCGCATTCAGGACTGGAGCTAACCATCTGTGAGATCAATGTGTTTTGCAGATGAGATTGGACTGCAGTGTAGAAAATAAAAGCTAAAAACCAAAAGGGCTGTTCTTAAAATTTTAAATGATTTTAAAACAAGTATTTATCAAGACTGTGTACAGTACAGTATGTTGCAAGTTCCACCTTGCTCCCTGTGCTTCAGGAATTGATTCATTGTTGCTGTAACTGTTAGTAGGAATATGCAGATTTCTGATTAGGGTTGTATGGATGGATATGTACAGTACGTGGTTTTCAGTATTTCATGTCGTAGGTCTGTTGATCTTCCTGTTCTTCTCTCTGCTATTCATATTTGTGAATTCTAAAGTATAGGGAATACAGCAGCTATGATATGAGACAAATCTAAAACTAGGGGCATTGTGGAGATTTTTAGTAGTTTCAGTACGATATACTGTAAAAGTGTTTATAAAAATAAAATTTAGATTAATGGCTGTGCAACATTGGAATTGTTTCAAGTAATTCAATTTTCTATATTGCTTTCATTCCCATTTTAATATCCTACAGCTGTTTAAATAAATAGCAAAATCTTAAGATGTTCTCTGTTTTCACAACAGTGTTTTTCAGTTTCTGAACTCTTCAAAAAGTTCTTCAGAGAGCCCGAAATGCCCTGAATTTTGCAAACTGACAAATACTATGGATTGAGTAATCTAACCTTATTGAGAAGGAATCTGGAAGAGAAGGTTATCTTTAATGATTTAAAATTTACAGAGCCCACTTTTATAAGCTTAATCCTCATGAATCCTAATTCAAAAGTATTAAGATAACTATTGAACTATTTGCTGGAATCGGCGTTATCAGTGGTTTCCGAGTGCTTCGTATTTCACAGCACTAATGATAGGTTATAATCTCTTATTTTGCAGGGAATGGACACATATCATCTTGTGAACCAGCAGCTTGAGTAAATATACCTTTAAAATACAGTAGTGCAAAAGAAAGAAAATATACTTTTAAGCAGGAGTGGGAAGGCTTTAGGGGCTGATGACTTAGGGGGGTCCTTTAAATTGGAAATGTGATTTGAGAACATACACTAGAAGGACTGAGGAGGAGACTGTGAAGTAACTAGAAATGGATTTCTGCTCCCCTGATTATCTGTTACACCTGCACAATGTGTCCTATTTTTCTTTTTTTCCTGATTTTAAGTATTTTTGTCAAAGTCATTGAGACAGCAGTGCTTCTTGTGCTGCTGGGAGCATCCCTTGTTGGAAATATTACCGCCATCGTGCGGGTTTCCAGGCAGAAGCAGCCCTGGAAAAGGAACTTTTTGGTGCTAAACCTGTTTGTCGCGGACCTCTTGTTTGTCAGCATGACATCATCATTGGAGGGTCCAGGATTGAGTCCTGGACCCTCGGCGGCTCTGCCTGCCGCCTGCTGCTGTACGTCATGTGCGTCAGTGGCTGTGTCACCGTAGCCACTCTGGCCACCATAAGCCTTGAGAGGATGTGTGAAACCGGCCTTTAACCTGAACCTTCTTTCTTGCGCTGTGGGCTGTGTTTGGATGTTTTCCATCCTTACTTCACTGCCAACTGTCTTTGTTTTTTCAAGTAATGCCTGTCACGTCTCATGGCAAGGTAAGACGAGATTGAAGCACATTTAGGATGCAGCTCAACACAACACACAGTGTATAATGGATCCTTGTTTGAAAAAGACTTTCAAGTATTTGAACCCAGATTTGGTGTGGAATTGTCTATATTCCTCATAATCACCAAGAGGGCTCTGGACTACAAGCAGGCAAGATATAGGTCATTCATAGCTGGATATATTCCTCCTGTGATTTGCATTGAAGGATTGCACGCTTAAAATGGTTTCTGTATCCTGGTAGCATCCTTTTCATATACCATACCTCCAAATAAAGTTTAACCAGATGTTTGCTTGTTTTATATTGTGAAGTGGTGTTATCACATATGTATTTATGATTGAAGACAGTGCAGATTTGTACCCTGATGTGGCCCAGTGTGGTAGGAGAGATTATGTGGGAAATTGCCTTTGCTGTACTGGATTTCTTCATCCCTGGTTTAATCATTGTGATCATTGTGATGGCAAACTTTTGCAGGTACAGTCATTTTGCTGCATTAAAGTTCCCTTTTATTAGCTTTTTCATTATTGGAATCAATTCTAAAGGACATAGTAAATTTGTCATTTTAATATTTTGTGTGTAGTGTTACACATTGTTTGTAAATTGATTAGTTGAATTAGACTTTTGACTAAAAGATCATTAAAGGGAAAGTTGAACTGAACTGGCACCATCCCACTTTCATTCTTTTATGTTTATCAGATCTATGTGCTTAGTAGATTTGATCTAAATGTTTCATCTCTCAGCATTCCTCAGAGGACTTGAATTTGTATGAGCCCCATTTTGGTCATACCCACTGATGCTTTTGTGCATCTCTTCACAGATTACTAAGTCTTCCCAGAGAAGGCTGAAAAATGGGAGATGGAGCTCTAGAGCAGATGGACAGCAATTTCCAGTATCCAGACAGGATGTGAAACTCCTCTGCACTCTGCTCTTGCTCGTGGGGTCTATCAGTCTGAAGTGGAGCCCCATCTTAATCACCAGCTTTCTGATCCTCATCAGGAACTTTCGGGGTGACCTCTTTATACCCTCATCCATGTTCTTCTGGATGGTCACGTTCACCTTTGCCAACTCGGCCCTGAACCCCATCTTGTACGATGTCAGCCAGTTCAGGAGCAGCCGGTGTCACGGGCTGTGCTGCTTCACCCGGGTAGCTCCCATGATGAAAGCTCATGCCAGCCCCCACTGTGTGGCTCAAATCCTGACCAATCCAAATGGCTGAAATAAACCATCTGAACCCACTGGGTAGATGCAGCTCAGATCATGTTGCACTGAGATAGGCAGTTGTGTACCTACTGTATATGATCTGTTTCTCCTTTCCTCATTCAGAACTGTCACTCTGCCTGTGGTGAAAGAGAGGCTGAAGGTGAAACTCGTTGGGCAATTTTGCTAAAACCGACTGAGAGTTTCAACATATAGTCCCATCTGAAGAAGTACATGATGCAGACAGTGTAGACATGATCTTTTAACGTGATTTTCAAAGGTACCCATTAATGCACAAGGTAATTTCAATAGGTAGATTGTACAGGTAAACTGATATTTACTTTGCAGAGATTTTCTAAAATATTTCACACCAAAGCTCATTACGGCTTGTGGTTTTAGAGTTACACCACCTGAATTTTTTAATCAAAATTTTAACACTCTTCTGTTTCAGTTTTTCCCCTTCTTTCTATTTAGGTTGGAGTTATAAATTCACAGAAATGATTAAAACCAATATAATTTCTTCAATGGAACAAGCAATAGGTTTATTCCATGCTGAAAAGAAAATAAAGAAAACACAACGTTTCAGCACAGCTGAAGAAGGCTCCACGGCCGAAACTTTGTGTTTTCTTTCTTCTCTTTTCAGCACGGAATAAACTTATTACCAGTTCTTTTGCAGCCTACGCATGCTGACGCAGCTACAATTTCTTCAATATCACAACTAGCCACGACATTCTAGCCATATTCCATTATTCACAATTTGTTGCCCAAAAATTCTCTTAAAGTAAGAGGTTTATAAACTTGAAACGTTGTAAAAAAATTTAAGGATGGGAAACAGCATGTCTCTTTACTCACACCTTCTTATTAGAAACCTAGTGCGCCATTCTGAGATCAGACCAGGCTGGTTCTTTTGTCTGAGCCTCTTCAGTTATTATTCTCCAGTATGCAGATTGATTATTTTGATAGTGTTGATTATTTTGTCAAATTCTAAACTTAAAGTTCTCTGTTGTTCCTGAATGGTGAACTGAATGACATTCCTTCATTTGTAATCTTTCTTTCTTCTGGAAAAAAGACAAATGTTTCTCTCCACTAATGAATAACAGCATGTCTCTTAACTTTTAAAAAAGCTTTTAAACACACAGATATGGGAGCCAACAGTTGCGAAAAAGTATGTTTATTTTTTTATTTAAAGAATGAACAGAAAGAAGACAGATACAATTAAAATGTGCTGTAAACATTTCTAAGAAGTGATAGCAGAGCAAGATTATAAAACATTATTTCAATCAAAATCAAATCAGGATTGAAAGCAAAAATGAATGAAGAAAAAACTATATGTTACACTTAAATCCAGAGTAAAAGCAAACTAGTCACCATATAACATGAAATATACCCAGATTTTGGCTCAGACTAAGGGAAATGAAATTTACAGAAAGTGACAGGCTTAATTATATCTTTGCTGTGACACCATGAAACACTGTTCCCTTTTTACATTTCCAGACAGGTGTTCTTCAGTAAGATTGAATGAGTCTTTTTTAACTATTCATGCTGTTCATCATTCAAATCTGAATTCAACATTCAGGTCTAAATGAACAAACTTGACCTCTACTAAAAATATTTGTTTTGTAGTTTGTTTTTGTAAACTACACCAAACCAATACAGCAGACATGAATTTGCTTGTAAAAGAACATACAGTACACACATTGAAAATATTCAAAAAGACTTTCAGAAGGCCATAACACAGAATGATGCAACTAAAGCAAACATTGCAGCAGAATGGATTGAAAAATCATTGCATAGGTCACTTAGTAGGGTGTATATTTAGAAAAATGTGATGCTACATCCATGGTGTCCTTTTCAGTTAATCAATTCAGCTGTTATCGCAGTAACCTATAAAAGCAGAATACAAAGTTACATCTTTTTTAAAAAGGAAACCAGCCCTGTGCTAATATAAACAACAAGCAAGCTCCTATAAAAATTCACTTTCTGCCTAGAAAAACAAGTGATATCTTTGGCAATATCTTCAATTTCAAACTTTAACAACTGGACTTTAAAAAAACATGTCAGTGAGAAACAGAGTACTTTGGACATAAGCACTCAATGTGTCCTTACTGGACACCGTGGGTTATTGATTTCAATCTGAAAATCCATATTAACTATTGGAGATGGAAAGCACACAATATCCTCACTCCTTCTTTAGATTCTTGCAGTGTGTGTAGGCAAAATTTGTGCACAAATGCTCGCTAAAATCCCAGTGCATTCATTCAGTTTGTTCATTGGAAGTGAACATGCTACAGGTGACTGCTGACAAACAGCATGCGTTCATATTGTTTGTTCTATTTCAGTAAATAAATGCAAATAGGACAAGAGATATTACCCTGTCCTAATGTATGCACCCTCTCTCTTACCTGTGTGAGCCACACGCCTGTATTTGCCCAGCAAACAAAGCTCCTGTTTCTTCTGGGTCACAATCTTCTGGTCCTCCGGTCTCAGGCCAGTGGGGTGGCGTGAGAAGATGAAGGAGTAGCTGTCCAGGCAGGTGCCATCTACGTCCGTCTGGCGGCAGGAGTAATGGATGGCATAGTTGTCATAGTCGGTGTCGATGACCCAGTGGTCGTCGTCTACAAGGGGAGAACAGACAGAAATCAAGTTTCGTGTTAAAACGATTGCTCTTCAGCCAGCTGATAAAACCTGATAAGCCATGCAGTCAGTCACCCTCTTTGGAGAATAACCCAGTCCCAGCTGCACACGATTCTGTTGATGTGGCATGTTACATGTAAAATGTAATTTTGCCTTTGATTTTAAATGCAGTTATCTTACCTCTAAAAGAATCATGTTAGCTTCTCAGTTTTCAGTGTCAAGGCATAAATCAAAGACCATCTAGACTGAAAACTTCAAAGGAACCTGTTCTGTCTTGTTACGAACATTGGGTATTTCAAAATGTTCTCCACTAGTTTTTTGATGAAACGCTTGGAACTTTTTTTAATCATGCAATAAACAGAAATAAAAGTTGGGTCACATACATCCATTCTGGAGATGAGCTGCTGCTCCCCAGTACTTCATCTTGAATTTCGCTGGGTCCTCAGTGTCTTCAAAGGTACCAAACATCTGGGCACACAGCTCCCAGTTACTGAGAGTCAGGAGAACCATCATTTGACATCAGATATTACAAGCGCGGAGGAAAAACAATTAGACTGAACATCGTCTCTACTCACTTTAAAATTATTACTCGACCCTTGGCTGTAGCAGTCATTCTGCCATCATCTTCAATCTTAAAAGTAGCTTCAATGTTATCCAGCAGAAAAAGCCCAGATGGATCTTTCTTGGCCACAGCATACCATGTTCCTGCATACTGAAAAACATCAGAATTTAGTTAAATACAATAGAAATATACTGAACATGAACAAAATGTTACATGGATTCCAGAGAATAGCATTTAGGCTTACAACAAGCATTAATTTTTAAAGGATGTTTTTAAAGGATTTAAAGGATAAATTTAAAGGATGTTTTTTATCATACCCGATATCTGTCAAAGTCCTTCATAACCTGTATATTGTCTACAACACAGTCCTGTGCCCAACAGGTGGCCAGGAAGCAGAGGGCTGCTAAGATTCGGATCATCTCTGCACCCGTTCTGATGAAGAAGAAGATTCAGATCTGCAAAATGAAGAAAGCAAAGGCATTAAAACAAGTTTTGAGATTCAGTTCAGTTTCCTCCAGCCCAAATACTGATCATATTAGGATTGCCTCTCTTCTTTCTAACAAGACATGTTTTTGAAATGCCCTTGCATTGCAATTGGGAAACAAAAATAAGAATAAAGTCAAAATACTTTGCAGTATTAAAGCTTTAAATCTTTTTTAGGCAATCCTGTTTCCCATGTAAAAGAGTACCTGAAACCTTGCTCTGCAGAATACGCTATGAACTGCAGTCTCCTGCTAGTTGGGTGAGCAGTTTATATAGTGAGATCCTTGTTAATGATTTTGTTTCGTCATTCCCTCTGGAAACACGTCCCAGGGCAGCTCGCTAAATCAGAGGTTCTCTCCAGAATGCGTGCGCACTTACTACAGGGTCCTGTGTTCTGGCACAGCTCTTTCCCTTTGATCCCCACTGATCAATAGAGTGTTTTAGCTAAAAGCTCCAGCTTTTTTTACGAAAGACTGACTGCATACCAATAGACTAAAAAAAAAGTTTAAAAAGCCATCTGGTTTTCATTAGACTTTAAGAATGTCCAGGTGCTGAAACTGATTTTATGATTCTCTAGGGCTTGCTTACATAAAATATTGCCCTGACAGGTTTTGCCTGGACACTACAAAAACTCAAGACAATTCAAATTGAATGAATGTATCACAAGTTCTGGCTTGCTACTATTGCTGTCTATTAAGACATCTTTAAATATCCTTAAGCATTTAGATACTATATACAGTATATGATATAACATCTTATGCTTTTCTCAGATTTCTAATGTGAGCCATCAGCAAAGTAATTGAAAGGCATTTAGTATATCATGTTTCCTTCCATTTTAAAGTAGCATACAGTAGACCTATTATGCTGTTGCATATGTTTATTTAACTTTCAGATCAACCACAGCATGAACACTTCGGCTTTCTAAATTCCAGAAGCTCCATTTTTAATTTTTTAAAGATTAGGTTCCACTAGGGGATTTTCTAGATGAACATATTGATAAGGAACAAGTAAAGGTTTATTTTTTGCTAAAAACAAAATAAAGAGACACAATATTTCACCTGTGTAACCTTCTTCAGCCTTCTTCAGAAGGCTCCACAGCTGAAACATTGTGTCTTATTTATTCTCTTTTCAGCATGGAATAAACCTTTACTTGTTCCTTTGAAGTCTACACATACTGATGCAGCTACTGTATTTACTCGAATCTGTAAATAAACCGCATAGATACATTAAAATTTGAGGACAATATCAGTTCCTGCTTTCCTTTGATATCCTTATTATCTGGTTGTTTCCTATTTATGTCTTGTTTGTTGTTATGTTACACAGCCTCCAAAACTTTATCAGTGTAATAAAACAATAGTCTACAATAAAACTATGCTGTGGGGATAATTATTGTGGAGATAATCTGTATTAGAAGAGTGTTTGTTGGTCATATGCAAAGATTCCTCATTTATGGTAACTGTTCACAGCAAATTAAATAAATCAGTCAGTAGCAGTATGAGATATAAACAATCATTTCATTTTCAATTTAAAGTTAAATGAAATATTTTGTTGACATTCAAACATTCAAAAGTGTTACATTGGTGTTAGAAGTGGGGTGGGATAGCCCTTCGCCAAGGATGGTGAGTTAAGTGGGGGAGAGTGTAACGCATACGGCCTCCATTGTTTGCGAGAGCTGGCTTACCAGCATATTGACCCTTCCCTGTGAATAGCAGGGACCGCAGCTGAGGGGAGATTTCCCTTTGGCTCAGGAGGCTGGGTCCCTGTTGAGTGATGCCGGAGGCCTGGGTTCAAGTCCCTGATGGTGGGGGGCCGGCCTGAGGCGGCAGCGGCAAGGGCACCCACTTGAACCCCGAAGTGTTACCATATAATTTAAAAAGCAGCATTATCAGTATGATCTTCCATGTAAACATTCACTCAACAGCAGGCATGGGTGTCTTCACTGGTGATGTCGCTGAAGAGTAGACAACATGCTGCTCTCAGGACAAGGAGGTGAAAACAGGAAAGTGTTTTCTGATCTGTGGCAGATCTCTTCATACTCCACCACTTGCAGCTGTGTGTGTTTGTGCTTGTTGGGTTTAAAACAGCAGACTCTATGCAGCCAGAATGGGAATCAGGAGAGACAGTCGGAGAATGCAGCTGTCTTTTGAATTACAGAATGAATTACCCTGAGAAGTGTTGGGCACAGAGGACTGGCTTATTTAGAAACCCCCAAAGATGAGGCTGCCAGTGCTATTTAGAATGAGCTCCACTGGATTTTATCTGTGAAAATCTTTTGTTTTTCAAGTAAATGTTTATTTAAAAAGAGTCATAGGGACAATATAATTTCCATTACTGGCTTCAGTTTCAAACAGTCTTGTTGGGAAGACCTCTGCATGCATATATGTTTTAGCATTATTGCTTTTAATCTAAAATACTATTATTTGGGCATTGTAGAGCTCTTGAGCTGGACTTGATTTTGACTTACAGTATTTAAAAGCCCTTTTAGACAAAACAAGCAGAGTGTATCCTGACTTGTTCTAATCCGTCGGGTAAGAATAGACACAGCCTACTTGTTAATTCAAAGAAATAAAAGAAAGTTTATTTATACATCTTGTTGTCGCTCACCTCTTTCTCACAGATCTGATTCCAATAACCAGGATTTTATCTTGTTAAAAGGACTTTTTAGGTCATGGATTCAGTATACTGTATGTACAACAGTTTACCCTGTCTTATTCAATGCATTTCTTAATTATTAATCAATTGCTTTATAATTTCTTAAAATAGCTTTAACCCATTAGACATTAAACAAATGCCATAAACAGACTTTACAAAGCATGAATATATAAAAGCATGAATATAATATATAGTCATTTAACCTCCCAGGCCGCATGGTGACACAGTGGTAAGCATTACTGCCTCTCAGCACTGGGGAACTGGGTTCAAGTCCAGACCTGGGGTGCTATCTGCGTGTGGTTTGTATGTTCGCGTGGGATTCCCCCGTGTGCTTTGGTTTCCTTCCACAGCCAAAGAACATACTGGTAGGTTAAATGGGTTCTGGGAAAACTGGCCCCGGGG